ATCACCCTCAGCATTGTCCTCGAGCGGATGCAGTACGAGGGGGTCCTGGACGTCTTCCAGACAGTGCGCATCCTGCGCTCCCAGCGACCGGCCATGGTGCAAACCGAGGTGGGTTATTATAATTTAATACCTTGAAGCTTAATTAATGTTATGTGCCATCTATAGGATCAATATCACTTCTGCTATCGCGCTGCACTGGAGTACTTGGGCTCATTCGACAACTATGCCAACTGAATCAACAGCGACCTGGATCGCCCTGGCCATAGAGCAAATTTGTGAACATTCGAAATTCGAAAACTACGCATAATACGCATTTACGATACAACGGATATAATAACTAAAGTATTATAGCCAGCTACTGCCCACACACGTACTTACACCTATAACTATATACGTGGATATGTTTTAGTTTGTAAGCGCACCTCTCCCCGCCCCACAGATTGCGTTACAATCACGTTTCTTTCGGGGCATCGGTCTTTTGCTGCGTTTTATTTTTATTGATAATGTGAACTAAAAAAGACTGTTACACGTTTAATTATCAGTAATTTGTATATCAGCCCATATATGTATACTTCTCATATATATGTGCGTCAAGTGTTGCTTGAACTATTGAAGAAAGTCAATCATCTTGTAGTTCGTGGAGCCACCGCCGGAACGGCCAGGAACGGAATGGCCAGAGGGCGGGCGGTCACTCCACCGGAAATCGATACATATTTGAACTAAGGACTTGGTAGCTGTTAGTCTTACCGCCTAAAGCGAATCTCAAACAAATGGATAGGATGTAAAGGCAGGCCATTTGAAGATCAGTCAGAGGGAATGTAATCCAATAAACCTTACAATCTAGTGTATGGGTACTACAATCAATCAAATACTATGTTAATCAGTTTTAATATCTAGGTTCTATTATAAACCATTATAAACACTCCGTGCAATTAGTCAAAAGTCTTGCATAGTTCATATTTTCTAGGCTGCTAGTTTCTAAAATTATTTGTATCGAATCGGACCTACGTTTTGATCTCCCAAATATAACAAAAAGGTAGATAATCTGAATGGACTGGTAGAAAGAAAAACTTAGTTGACTAAACGAAAATATGTGCTTTTCCCCCCAGGAGACTTACACAAATACTTCCAGCTGAGAAGCTAATCACACGTTTAACCTCATTCCCGATTCTTCTGCTTAGTTTTCCAAAACATTCCTGTACATACCAGAGTAAAACCCAAGCTAGCCACGTATGTGTAATTTAGATCCGAAAGCTAAACGATTATTGTACCTAAGGTGTATGAAGGCATAGAGGTAGCCCGTGCAAACAGATTAGAAGGATAACTGTAGATATGTACTGTAGCATACAATTTTTACAATAAACAAATATAATATTAAAGCGGCACCCACACACAAATAGGCAAAGCGTGAAATTGGCAATAGCACGTAGGACACTGAATAATGTATATAACTGATAAGATGTTTTGCAGATCGTTTGAATTCGGCCTCGTATTTATACATATTATATAGGAAGACGTTAGCAAGCAAATGCTTAAAAGCAAACTCTAAATTATTAGCTGAAAAAAAGAAACACATGTTAAACAACAATAGTCATATGTAAACTAAATATTTATACGAAATACCGATATTTGTTATAACTACATAACGTAGCACGTTGCCCCGCCAACAGGATCGAAGGTGTTAGCCATTAGTGAATCTTTCTGAGGTTTTCGGGCGGCCGGGCATGTTTGGAATAATATGAAAAATAAATAATTAAACTATAGCGTTAGCAGCAATAGATGTCTAGGTAAAGATAACCCAGCAGAACGTTGCAATCGGATTAAATATACCATATAAATCAATTGAAGTGTACGAGCGTATGTATATTATAACTAAAAATTTGTCGGCTTGTCGAATTTTGTTAAATTATAAATTGTTTCATGTGTTTTACCAGACAGACGGATATAAGATGTTTTAGTGGTAACATAGTACACAAGAAAGCATAAATTAAAATGATTATACTAATCAAGAAAAAGACAAGCGATTGTATTTCGCGAAAAATTATGAATAAGAGATAATATTATGTTTAAAAATACAATATAAATGATGTATCATTTTCAAAAAACGCAGAACCCAATGGCAAATAATAAAAAAAAAAAAAACCTATAAAATGCTTTTAATTTATTTTAAAATTGTTTAATAAAATGTGTCTCAAAAGCTGGCATTTAGACCACTAGGGTCAAAGCTTGCTAAACATGGCTCTGACCATCAATTTATTTTAACGAAACTTCAGTACTTTTGATAAAAATTATATTTCATACCTTCCCGATCTTAGATTTTCGAGTAGCACAATTTTGAATTAAAACCTGGCTAACTAAAATCTGATCCGATTTTTGCAAATTTTCATAGGGGTAACATCATGATTTTGGCCAAAAAACGACCAAAAATTGTATTTCTTGATTTTGGTCAAGTTTTGATGCTGATTGAAGGCAATGAGTTTCCTGATTAGTAAATGGTAATCCTTTTCCAAATCCGATTAACAATAACTGAAATATGGTCTAGAAAGTGTCTCAAAAGTAACCATTTTGGCCATCCTGTTCTTATCTTGGTCAACAAGGTTTTCCAGCGGGATTTTTTTTCAGGAAAATATCTATAACTCGGAAAATAATTATCCTATCGATGAATGTTATACCTTCCCGATCTTAGATCTCCTAGCAGAATAATTCTGCATCAAAACCTGGCCAACTAAAATCTGACCCGATTTTTCCAAATTTTCATAGGGGTAACATCATGATTTTGGCCAAAAAACGACCAAAAATTTTATTTCTCGATTTTGGTCAAGTTTTGATGCTGATTGAAGGCAATGAGTTTCCTGATTACTAAATGGTAATCCTTTTCCAAATCCGATTAAAAATAACTGAAATATGGTCTAGAAAGTGTCTCAAAAGTAACCATTTTGGCCATCCTGTTCTTATCTTGGTCAACAAGGTTTTCCAGCGGGATTTTTTTTCAGGAAAATATCCATAACTCGGAAAATAATTATCCTATCCATGAATGTTATACCTTCCCGATCTTAGATCTTCTAGTAGAATAATTCTGCATCAAAACCTGGCCAACTAAAATCTGACCCGATTTTTCCAAATTTTCATAGGGGTAACATCATGATTTTGGCCAAAAAACGACCAAAAATTGTATTTCTTGATTTTGGTCAAGTTTTGATGCTGATTGAAGGCAATGAGTTTCCTGATTAGTAAATGGTAATCCTTTTCCAAATCCGATTAACAATAACTGAAATATGGTCTAGAAAGTGTCTCAAAAGTAACCATTTTGGCCATCCTGTTCTTATCTTGGTCAACAAGGTTTTCCAGCGGGATTTTTTTTTCAGGAAAATATCTATAACTCGGAAAATAATTATCCTATCCATGAATGTTATACCTTCCCGATCTTAGATCTTCTAGTAGAATAATTCTGCATCAAAACCTGGCCAACTAAAATCTGACCCGATTTTTGCAAATTTTCATAGGGGTAACATCATGATTTTGGCCAAAAAACGACCAAAAATTGTATTTCTTGATTTTGGTCAAGTTTTGATGCTGATTGAAGGCAATGAGTTTTCTGATTAGTAAATGGTAATCCTTTTCCAAATCCGATTAACAATAACTGAAATATGCTCTAGAAAGTGTCTCAAAAGTAACCATTTTGGCCATCCTGTTCTTATCTTGGTCAACAAGGTTTTCCAGCGGGATTTTTTTTCAGGAAAATATCCATAACTCGGAAAATAATTATCCTATCCATGAATGTTATACCTTCCCGATCTTAGATCTTCTAGTAGAATAATTCTGCATCAAAACCTGGCCAACTAAAATCTGACCCGATTTTTGCAAATTTTCATAGGGGTAACATCATGATTTTGGCCAAAAAACGACCAAAAATTGTATTTCTTGATTTTGGTCAAGTTTTGATGCTGATTGAAGGCAATGAGTTTCCTGATTACTAAATGGTAATCCTTTTCCAAATCCGATTAAAAATAACTGAAATATGGTCTAGCAAGTGTCTCAAAAGTAACCATTTTGGCCATCCTGTTCTTATCTTGGTCAACGAGGTTTTCCAGCGGGATTTTTTTTCAGGAAAATATCTATAACTCGGAAAATAATTATCCTATCGATGAATGTTATACCTTCCCGATCTTAGATCTCCTAGCAGAATAATTCTGCATCAAAACCTGGCCAACTAAAATCTGACCCGATTTTTGCAAATTTTCATAGGGGTAACATCATGATTTTGGCCAAAAAACGACCAAAAATTTTATTTCTCGATTTTGGTCAAGTTTTGATGCTGATTGAAGGCAATGAGTTTCCTGATTACTAAATGGTAATCCTTTTCCAAATCCGATTAAAAATAACTGAAATATGGTCTAGAAAGTGTCTCAAAAGTAACCATTTTGGCCATCCTGTTCTTATCTTCGTCAACGAGGTTTTCCAGCGGGATTTTTTTTCAGGAAAATATCTATAACTCGGAAAATAATTATCCTATCGATGAATGTTATACCTTCCCGATCTTAGATCTCCTAGTATAACAATTCTGCATCAAAACCTGGCTATCTAAAATCTGACCCGATTTTTGCAAATTTTCATAGGGGTAACATCATTATTTTGGCCAAAAATCGACCCGAAATTCGATTTAGACATTTAGAGTCCCGAATCGCAAATAGTATTCCTTTTTTGAATGCGACACTTATGTAATGGCTTAAATGTATTGTACCCAAATTCCCTTTTGTATATTTTGGTCGTGCGCATTATTATTGTGATTATTAAAATGGTATAATTTATTTTGATTAATATAAGTTTATAATACATGTCCGATGCTCAAAAATATATATTTCCAAATTCTCAAGAGATACCTTGTAGTAGCATAATAACAAGCAATATTTGAGAATTAGCGATAAGACTTTTCCTAGAGAGTCATGTGTATATAAGATGAGCTTGAGTAAAAATTTCATTGAATTGAACAAATAATTTTGACGATGCGTTACCTATGGCTAATTACCGTGGCTGCTCTGGTAAGTATTTAAATATTTATATTAAAATACGTACGTTTTTCATGAATATTTTTATAAACAGAGCCTCGCTAACGCAGCACCTCCTAAAACCCAAAATGAAATCATCGCCCAGTTTTTCGGATACGTGGAGACAATCCGTGACATTCAGTTTGAAAACATGCTGACTGTGACTCTCCATTTCGTAAGTCAAATTGTGGAAAGTGTCCCGGCCGGAGAACGCGGACCAGCAACTGCCAGTCTACAGGCCTATGTCGATCGTGGTCAAATCGTGAAAGAAAGGGGCACAAGGACGCAGAAGTTAGACTACTGCCAGGGCTTGCAGGAGTTGTTCGGAACTGTAGGGGCCCAAATGCAATCAAACTCAGCCGAGGGCCAGGTAATCGGGATGAGTGTCTTGGGACTACTAGGCGTGGCGTCTGAGTTTGCCGAAGAGGACACCAAGTTCTACAACAAGTTTTCCCAAGGAGCTACGCAAATGAAGGAAAAGTTGACTCCGTCCACCATATCTCGTGAAAGCGAACTGTTCCAAGCGATCGACGAATACATCAACTCTAAAGATTTCCAAGCACACGAAGCCCTTATTGAAAAAGTCCTGTCATTTAAAAATAGGTACTAGCCATGTAATAAAAAAGCCTGTTAAATAAAGAATGCAACCGAAAATAATAAAAATGTCTTTTGTTTTGAATTATGATTAGTTTTCTTGAACAATTTTTATTAAAATGCCTAACCGCACCTTAAAGCTATGCCATAGCTTGCTCTTATCGACAACTTTTATATTTTTTTAAAAAAGAATAGAAACAAAGAAAGAAAGTAGCAGGTGAATATTAAGATTATGCATCTTGAGAGATGTCAGAGGTCTAAGGCGTCACATGTACTTTTGGCTATTCGTTATTCACTCTAGTACATGGCAATAATAAATACCCTTGCTTCGAAGGAGCTTTTACCGAAACTTACACGTGATATACGTGGAACAGAGGACTCAGGACCAATACCTGGGAGTCCTGGCATGGCTTAGATTTTCCACAAACATTCCGGTACCTTGGCTTTCCAATATTTTTACATAGCAAGAACATTTTTGACCAAGTTTTCCAAATTTTCCCATCACAGTAATGCATAGAGGGACAATTTATATTAAATTCTAGCGCACTAGATCTTATACTTTGTATTTTGATCATTTTGTAATACCCTCTGCAAGGGTATACTGACTAAAAATATTAGAGAGTTAGCGATAAGATTTTTTAAGAGAGTCGAGGGTATAAAAGCCCGGCCTGCGCCAAAATTTCATTGAATAGAAAAAAAGAACTTAAAGATGCGTTACCTGCTGATCATTGCCGTGGCTGCTTTGGTAAGTGTCTAAAATTAATTTTTGTTTAAGATTTTCACGTTTGATTTAATTTCCAGAGCCTTGCCAACGCAGCACCGCCACAATCGCAAAATGAAATTATCGCCCAGTTTTTTGGCTACGTGGAGGCAATACAGGAGGTTGAGTATCACAACATACTGCTCTTGACGCTGAAATTCGTGGATAAAATAGTGAACAGTGTCCCGGTCGAAGAACGAGGACCAGCAACTGCCTCTCTGCGGGCTTATGTTAATCGTGGCCGAGTCGTCCAGCAAAGGGGCACAAGGAAGCAGAAGTACGAATACTGCGACAAAATGCAGGAGCTGTTGGGAACTGTCCAGGGACAAATGACACAAGGCTCGTCCGAGTCCCAGGTTATCGGAATGAGTTTATTGGGTCTACTAGCCGTGGCAGGAGAGGTTGGAGAAGAGGATGCTAAATTCTACTACAATTTTTCCGAGGGCGCAACGAAAATGAAGGCCAAGTTGACGCCATCCACCATCTCGCGTGAAAGCGAACTATTCCAAGCGATCGACGCCTACATCAGCTCCAAGGACTTGCAAGCACACGAGCCTCTTATCGAGCGAGTCCTGTCCTTTAAGAATAGGTACTAACCTTGTTAAAACCAATAAATAATTGTTGAAATATACTATAAAAGTATAAATGATAATGAGTATATAGTTTCAAATATTTGAAATAAACTATAAAAGTATAAATGAACGAACGATTCATTTTGTTAAAGTCCATTATTTATTCTTCATTTCAGAAACCAGAAATATATATGTATAATATATAATCTTTATTAAGTATATAATATAAGATTATAATATATATAATATAATTCATAACAATGTATAATTGATTCGTGATATATTTATCAGTGTTTGTGGTCATAAAGAGTATATAAAAAATTGAAGGTTTTCTTTTAAATTCATATTTATTTGATAAGAACCATTTTAAAAGTGATTAAGTTGAAATAAACATTGTTTTTGCTTCAATATACGCAGTAGAAAACTAAACATTTCTTTATAAATTACAAAAAAAGTACAGAGTATAATTTTTTTCAACATTTTTACAATTTCATTGAAGTTTTGTGGAAATCCTAACAATTCATATACAATTTTTAATGTTCCTTGAAACCTAAGTATTTTATAACACTTTTACTTAATGCGTTGAAACAAAAATTCAAAAAACGTTCACATTTTGCAATCACTTTTCATCCTCTGTATTATTGTGGGAAGTAAAATCAATTTGGCTTCGCTCAGACAGTATGTTGAGTGGGTCCTCGCTCCGCAGATAACCATTGTGCTCCGGATGAGACTCAAACACTACCTCTCCCTTAATGACTCGCACTCGGGGTCCATGAGCTCGAGCAGTAAACTTTACTTTGCCGCAAGTGTCCGGCCGGATGCGACGATGAGCCCGTAAGCCGCTGACAACAACAAAGTTTTTGTCGCATCCATAGCATTTATATCGTTTCATTCCAATATGGCGAGATATATGGGAAATAAGGGTTTCCCGATGAGTAAATTCTAGAGCACAGAACTGGAAAGAACAAATTAATAGGCTTTTGGTTCATAATCTTTAAAATAAAGTCTATTAAAGCTTGCTTACCTTGCATTTAAAAGGTTTCTCGCCTGTATGACGGCGATGATGAACACGCACCTGGCCAGGAGTGCGGAAACGTTTGTCGCAAAAGTCGCACTTGTGCGGCAGCTCCCCGGTGTGGATGGTTTTGTGAATGCGTAGGGCACCGTGAGTAGTAAATACTTTTGAGCACTCAGAGCACTGATACGTTGTGATCCTATCTTTAGGTTTCGTAACTTTATCCTTTTTGGACCTTGCTGACTGAATCTGAACATTCGGAGGTATGGAAGTTTTCACATCCTTGATGGAAGGGCTTGGCTCTTTCATTCTGGGACTTTCTTCTGAGCTTGCAGATGGTTTGGATATTTGTGGTTGTGAATCAAGTGTTTTTGTTGATGGCACTGGTACGCCTAAAACGTTTGTCTGGCGATCTACTAAAGATTATTAAGTAAGCATTGTAAGTAAGCATTTAAATAAATGAATTGGGTATTTACTTACATTCGTATGGCTTTATGGAGACTGTGAGCTTGCTTAATAGATCCGCTTTTAGTTTATGTTCCTTTATTAAATGAACGCGAAATGCACGATTCTTTTCAAATGCCCATGGACAGATCGGACAACTCCACAGGAAGCGGAAATTGGGAAAGTTCTCGCGAAGATCCTTGATTACAAATGATGACAATGAGTCTAGAACTACTTCAATAGGTTTTGGATCAGGCTTGCGATACGGCGACTGTAGCACCGTCCCAGGCAATGGCAACGTCTTCTCAATGGACAGTATTTTATTACGGATATCTGATATCATTTTCATAGACTCTGGCTTGCTTTTCATGTTATCATATGCATCCAAGATTTCGAAAGGGTTGCGGTTCTGCAACTGTTTTGGTAGTGTCCACTTGGTGGGTGGCTGCGGCGCCGCTGGGGCATTTATGGTTGGAATGGATTTAGTTTTGGCCACTGGTACTTTGAGTAATGAAATAGCTTTTGGGAGGTTAACGGTACTGGATACTTTTGCATGGCTATCACCGACAGCACTCGGCTCGTTTATGTTCGATTCCACAGCTTCGACTTTTCGAATTTTCGTGCTCGAAGGGAGCGTGATATCCATGCAGTTGGTGGGCAACGATTTCAATATATTCATTGCAATCGGTTTCTTTTGAGTTTGGTCTGTGGTATGATGAGTAAAAGTTGTATTATCAACAGATATTTCAGTGGATAGTTTACTACGACTTTTAGCTGAAAAGAAATTAAAAATTATAAAAATAAGAAGTTGCTATTTTATATGAACAAGACTTACCTGGTAAAGCTGGCAAGCGAAGTTTGCCTCTGAGACAAACTGGTAAGTTTGACCAGACACTATTGGTCGGTTCCAATGGCTCCTTTTTAATATCAATCTCTGACATTTCCTCATCACCCGGTTCTGTTTTTACAATTATGGGAGGACATCTCTCCCAATCCTCAGTACATAGTGCTTCGTTTTTTAACATTAAGTCGCTCCGAACCGGTGGGTGAACTCGTTTAATGCTGGCCACCAGTTCAGCCCTGGTGTGGGTAAACTTCACGCGCCCACAGATTGATTTACTGACTTTGCGGTGAATTTTAAGATCCTGAGAGGACTCGAAATGGCGCCGACATAGAGAGCAGACAAAACGATAGACAGCGGAATGTTTTTCCATGTGGTTGGCCAGTTTGTCAGCATTTTTGGTCGAATAATCACAGATCTAATGAGAGACATTGTTATGAATCTTGCACGATGGAATATATATATATTTATTTCGCTTACTCTGCAACAGAGGTCACTTCCTGGCTGAGAATGAAAACGATACTCGTGTTCTAGGACTTTTTCAAGTGAGTTCATCCAAACTCCGCACATATAAAGGCAAAAAAAGAGGTTCTTTTGATGATTAGAAAGATGTGCCAAATTCTCCTGCTCGGTGTAGGACGGAAAGTGGCATATATGGCATTCAAATGGCTTTATATCATCTGCTAATGACGATTGAAATAACTGAAAGAAGAGAATGCATTACTATAATAATAAACAATCATCAAAAAAGGAAACTATAGCTATCAAGAATATTTTCATAATTTAATCATGTTATGAAATAACATCACTTTAGGATTTAGAAGATATATTTCAGATTAAATTTAATAGATAGATTAAATAGTTGAATAAAAATACACGTAAAGATACTTTAATATTATTTCATTAACAAATCTTAAGAATATAACAACGCAGTTGCTCCTATACTGGCAGTTACTGTAAAATGTAGTGATAAATACTCCCTGACCAGCATAGTACAGATTTTATCGATTGCTGATCACAGAGTAAAGAGCACATTTCATAATACCCACATTTCCCAAGGGGCGAAACATGAGAATGTTATAACAAAATACAAAATTTATCACAATCTGCATTTAAAACTTGAGTACATAGATATTTAGTCACTAGGAGAACTTTAAATAGGAACCTTTCTAGAATTAAATACTATTTTAAGGTTATTATCCCCCTCGCATACCTGTTGCGCATTGAGGATCAAGCGGCGCTCGTCCTCCGACTCGTTGTCTCTGACAGGAACTGTTATCATGTGGGAGCTCTCCTCGATTATTTTAATGGTTTCCTCAGCTTCATGATTGATGAAAATTATTAAAAATAATTAAATGTTTAACGGTATAGTGCGTAATAAGACGACGATGCTCACACACACACACACACACAAACACATGCTTTTGCGGCACACGCGTATGTGTAACAAGCATTTCGGAGAACTCACCGTTGGGTATCTCCATGCCACTATCCGTCAGATCATTGTCCTCCACTTCATCTGGCTCCATCTTAATTCTGGCGTTGCATATATCCACCTTCTCATGGATTGCTCTAAATCCTACGTCCATTTTCGACCGAAACCGAGGATCCGAAAGAGCCATGAAACTATACCGCTGCGATCAGTGATGGGTGCTTTTGTTTAGCGGGTACTGCGTGAGTAGCGTGAGGGTTGGCATGTGCGGCCCAGCCTTGGTGTTATCGATAGGAGCAAATGCACATCACTAGTGCAAAAGAGCAACCACTGTAAACAAAACAAAAATCCTTTAAAAATCTGTTTATTTCTTAGGATTTTAGAAAAAGAGCAATATATGTGCAATAAAACAAGGCGTAATACAACAATTATAGTAGAATCAAATTAACTGCAGCAACTAATATCCAAGCGAGTAAACAGGAAAGGTAAGGTTACTATTTTTACCTTTAAACATTAAAATCTTCAAAACATTGCATCCTTTTTTAAAGGCTCCACATTCAAGGGACATTCAAGAAAAGTACCCTTATCAAAAGAGGAACAATGAGCAATAGCGAGGATTCGCAGCAATATGTCAAGGAGGAGGACGAGGCCTCTGGGGGTTAGTAAGTCTTGCGGTAACCAAAGTTCATATATTAATGCCAATATCTTAACATCCCCATAGACGAGTCAGACAAACAGGATGGCGGGATAATGCTGCGCGAACAGGACCGTTTTCTGCCCATTTGCAACATAATCAAGATTATGAAAGTCCCTGTGCCGCAAAATGGAAAGATAGCCAAAGACGCCCGCGAGTGCATCCAGGAATGCGTCTCGGAGTTCATCTCCTTTATCAGCAGCGAAGCTATAGAGCGCAGCGTGGCCGAAAACCGCAAGACGGTGAACGGAGACGACCTTCTCGTTGCGTTCAGCAACCTCGGCTTCGACAACTACGTGGAGCCGCTGTCCATCTACCTGCAAAAGTATCGAGAGGTGAGTTTCTTGGCCAAGCACTCTTCCTGGCTAATTTTGTGTCCTTGCAGTCGAACAAATCGGACCGAAATCTGTTTCTGGACTCAGGCTACGCCCAAAACGAAGACTCTGCCACCACGCACGACGGGAAGTAGTAGGCTTTAATATAAAAATTGAAAGGATATCTACAAAATAATTATAATATAATACATTATACCTCTTGTATTTATATCTTTTCTAACTAGGCGGTGTAAGGAGATGGCACCTTTTTTTTTGGTTATAATAGATTTTAGGATAGGTTAGAACTTATTTTAAAATTTAAATTAACTTGAAAAATTAGAAAAAATAATGTTTTACTTTCGTGCAACTAACCCATCTTAATCTTAATAAAAAATAACAAGCACTATATATGTATTTCTAGTTGGTTCTTGGGATATCTTATTCTTTCTAGTAATGGATATTCCAAAGATATTCTCCACTTCCAAAGAATAATCCTTTTTTTCGATATGGTATACCCCAACTAAAACTTAAAACACTTCTTTTTCATTTTCACAATTGTATATTTAGTAAAACACCAATAAATATTGGGGCCATCTACAAGTTACACATATACGAGGATATTCCATATTATGTGTATATTTTTATTGTTCACATACATCTATATATGTATCTGGGAAACTAAAACACATTCTTCTCGCGCAGTAGGGATATACATATGTTTGTAAATGTTTAAAAACTAAAAACAATAACTTAAGGAACATTGTGTGTTGTTTCTTTGTATGGCATTCGCTTCTCACGCCGCTTAAGAATTAATAACGCATTTAAATCACTGGTAGAGACTACAAGGTAAAACTAGAAGACGTGTTGTGGCTTGGGTACACAGTGAATGTACAAAATGTCTATAAAATGGTTCTGGCTAACTCTAGGTTAAAATGATTTCATGCGGGGGCGGGGGGGAGAGACTAGACCAGGAGCGTCTCGTCGCCGTCCATGGGCTCGTCCTTGATCTGATTACCCGCATAGGAGGTCGTCGGATCGGTGGCGTAGTCGCTGAGGAATATGTTTGTATCGTTGTGGTTCAATGCCACTGTTGGGGTCGCTCCTGGACGAAGTTCACCCGGCCGGACAAAGCAGTGTGACTCAAAGTGCCGGCAACAGATGTGCTTGGAGCGATCCCACTTGGGTATGGTCTCGATTTTTAGGTTGTAGCACCATTTGGCCCGCTGGTTGCGGTTCTCTGGAAAGTCCAGCATCGGTAGCTGAACGTCATCTACGCCGCAGACGACGCAGCTTACGGTCATGTTGGTCGGCAGGTGGGCCGAGCAGATGTACTTGCCACGATAACGTTGTATATCCGTGAGTCTGAGGGCCTGGCACCACTGCCTCAGGTGTGTGGAATCTGTATTAAAGGACAAAATATCTATAAGATCTAGACTAACTGGATTTAAAATATAATCACTGACCATTGGGGAACTTATGCAGCTTGGCATTTCCGTTGTGATGACAGTCCGCCATGCAGCAGGTTGGGATGGGTGTGGGAGTTTCCTTGGGTTTGCTCTGCCAAACCTTTTTCTCCTTGCCCTTTACGGCTTCCGGATTCAGATGCAGAGTTGGAATGGCGTTGCGCATGAGGCGACGCACTCCGATAAGCTCCGGATCGAAATGCCGACTACAAATGAGTCGCGTGTTTCGCTGAGACTCCTTGAACACCATGCCAGTGGCCAACTCCCAATTGTGAATAGAGGTTCGGTTGTTGGGGAGCCGGAAGAGCTTGATGCCATCTCCTCGAAAGGCACGACAGTAGGGAAGGCAGCACTGCTTCACTTTCCAGGGCGGAACCTGACCAGCAGGATATGGATCCAGTCTCGAGCGCCGTTCCTTTTTGATGCGGACATTGGAGTCATGTCCTTCTTCCTCCGCCTCGTCCTCCTCACCATCGTCATCTTCTTCAAGACCATCCTCCTCTTCGCTCTCCGCTTCGCTACGATCGCTGGGTTGTTCCACCTCCAGTTCCAGGCACTGTTCGTTGGTGAAGAGTATCTCCGGCACATTGGTGCCCAGCTCTAGCGTAGGAACTGCCCAGGGACGCAGCTTCCTGAGGCTGATGCAGTGGGGCTCGAAGTGGACGCTACAGATCATGAATCGCCAGGGACGGCGCTCATCGTAGCGGATGCGGAGGTTGTGCATCCATCGCTCCTGCTGGAGCTGCGACCTGGGGAACTTGTAGATGTGGACGCCGTGCAGAGATCTTTGGCGCTGGCAGTGGGCCAGGGAGCACTTGTCGTAGCCAGACTTGATCTGGTTGAAGGATATCTTCTCCTGCTTCACAGGCATCAAGCTAGGCACATCCATTTGGTCCTCGTGCAGCTCGTCTTCCATATCCACCCGTTCCTGTTTCACCTCTGCCGCCGATCTCTTATCCAGTCGCTGGTTGATGGCCTCGAAATCGTTGTCGAAGAGCTCCGCAGGAGCTTTGGGTCCTAGCTTCAGGGTGGGCACACTTCCGTGGAGCAGGCGCAAGTTGGACAAGCACACGGGTTCGAAGTGGGCGGTGCAGATCCTGTACCGCCAGCGATGGTTCGGATCGAATGGAACTTGAGAGTTGTGCTGCCATCGGATGCACATCTCCTCCGAGTGCGGAAACTTGTGGAGGGTTATGTTGTCGGTGGTCAGGTGATTCGAGCAGCCTTCGATTTGGCAGAACTTGCTGGATTTTCGGGGCGCAGCCGGCGGAGGAAGGCAGAGATTGGTAACATCGGGCGCTATCCGTTCAGTCACACTGGTCACTGGGAGGATCTCGACTGGCGGAGGTGGATCCTTAACCTCCGGCTGCGATGCGAACTCATTGTCGTAGACCTCATCCGGTCTCCGAGGTCCCAGGAGTAGCGTGGGCATGGCTCCCTTTCGGATTCTAGACCCCTGGAAGCAGTCCTGGTGAAAGTGGTAGCTGCAGATGCGATAGCGCCACCAGAACTTCTCCTCCATGTCCACCTGGGTGTTGTGCATCCACTTGCGGGCGGCTTCCGCTGGGGCGGGAAACTTGTGCAGCTTGATAGTTCCACCCACGTCCTCGGCCGTGACGTCACACCCTTCCACGGCACAGCTGTTGGCGTTGTACTGCCCTCGATTGGACTTGTAGGCAATGGGGGATTCGTCGATCTTTTCATAGCTGTCCAGCCGCTCCACGTGTCCGACCTCCAGCAGCACCTCCAACGCCTGCATTTCTGAGTCCTCCTCCTCGGATTCCAGGTGTTCCATCTTGACAATGGGCTCCAGTAGAGAGTTTTCCGTTTCGATCTCCATCTCTGGCTCCGTCTCTAGAGGTTCCTCCTTGATTTCTGGCTCTTCCTTGTTCTCTCGCTTGATGACCTCCCACTCCTCCTTGCTGGGATTCTGGTGGACAGTCTCACCGGGAAGATGCAGGGTAGGAACACTCCAGGAGCTGAGCCGCCGTTCGTCGACGAAGCAACGTGGCTCAAAGTGCCTGTGACACACCTTGAGCATGTACCGTTGCGGTTCGGAGAAGTCCACCTGCCCGTTGTCCACCCACATCTGCAGGATATCCTTGTACGTGGGCATTCCGTGCAGCGGTACTCCATCTCTAGGCCTCACCGTTGTGCAGCCCTTGATGGCACAACTGACGATCTTGACCCGCCGGTTGGCGCGGGCGTTAGTGTAGTTTACTTCCATCAACTGGTCTGGAACGTGCTCCGGAAACTCCTTGGCACTGTGCTCATATAGAATCACATAATGGAGGGGACAGAGCTGTGGGGCTTCATCATGTAGCTCCCTGAGTTTCAAGTGACCCAGCCATGCATCGCGGAGCTCTGCCTGTTCGGGAAAATCCAATAGCTGGAATCTCGACGAGTCAGTGCAGTCCGGATAACAGCAAATGACCTCCGGAGAGGATCTTTTGAGATTCGGAAGACTTCTAGCCTGCGTGCCCCTGTCCGTGATGAAAATCCCCTCGGAGGAATGCCCCAGCTGCTTGGTGGGCATGGCTTCTGGCAGGAGTCCGTCGTTTTCCCGCACATCCGACTCAAAGTGCGCCGGGCATACCCTCAGTTTGTTTAGCTGATCCTTGCTTGTCTTTTCCAAGCGGATGTTGTGCAGCCACTTCCTGGCCAAGGACCAATGCTTCGGGAAGCCGTAGAAGGGAATGTCATCAGTCTGCCGGATACGCCCGCATCCCGGTACGCAGCAGTTCTCCCGCAAGTTGTCGGGATTAAGAAGAAGGTCCTCGTGACCCAGGAACAGAGTGGGTAAGGCTCCCAGCCGCAGACCCCGGCTAGGTCCGAAGCAGTACGTCTCGAAGTGGCGCTCACAGATGCGCTGGTGTCCGCGCTTCAGTTCTGAGACCGGAAGCTTTATATTGGTGCTCCACGCCTCGAGCTGTTCACCGATCTTGGGCAGCTTATAGAATCGCAGCCGGGGGCCCGCATCGTCCTGCTCACAACCTGGCACCAAGCAGTGTCTCTCGATGTCTTCGCGGTTGAGTTCCAGCGTGGGTATTGATCCCTCCAGTAGGTCTCCAGTGTCGGGATCAAAGCAGTCGGCAGCAAAGTGCGCCTGGCACACCTGGAGGCCATGGCTCCTGGCGTGCATGGAACGATGTTTGCAGGCAACTGCCCACTTTCGGATCATGGCCATGTCCTCGGGGTACTCGAACAGGCGGACTCCCTCTCCTCGGAGTTGGAAACAGCTCAGCACCGAACAGTAGCGCTCCCGGATAAACTTCAATGCCTCCTCGACATCGGCAGTGTTTCCATTGTGCCTGGCGTTCTGAAAGACATGCCCGTAGTGGCCAAGATTCAAGGTCGGCAAGGCCCAGCTGCGAAGGTGCTTCTTGTAGGTGGCGTCGGTTTCAAAGTGTGCCTGACACACGTAGAGCTCCATGGGATCCACCAGACGGGGCTGCTGCTGCGTATTGACCAGCCACTGGAGGAGGAACTGCTCCTCGCTGGGAAAGCGATAGAGTCGCACCTGGCTGTTCCCAAACTGGTTGCAAGTGGGGATGCAACAAATCCGGATGTTTCCTCTCGGACTGGGACTGGCACTCACACTCGGGCTGGATGCTAGTTCTGTCCTAATCCTCAGAGGTCTCAGGCTATGGCTATTGGACGTTCCGTTTAGGGCCTCAGCAACCTGATTCTGGACGGGATTCAAGTGGATTTGGTCGTCGTGGCCCAGGTTTAGAGTAGGCACTGCCCAACTCTGGGGAAAGTCTTCATCGAGGCAGATCGGGTCGAAGTGGAGCAGGCAAATCCGATAGCTGCCGTGCCGGGAATAGTCATAGGTGATCTTTGTGTTATGCAGCCACTTGGACAGTTCCTTCTCGTTGTGGGGTAACTGGACCAGCTGGACGGGAATATCACGGGCGTTCTTTGACGCACAACCGGGCACAGCGCACTGCAGCTCATCGACAGTTCGTTCCAGTTCCTCCAAATCCTGGACGGGCAAGTCCTCAGGCAAGTCCACCTGCTCGTACAGCTCCACGAAGTGGTTGCCACATAGAAGTCCGTTGCTAGTGAATGGCAGTTGGAGGTAGGAGAGCCAGGCCCTTTTCATCACAGGATTGTGGGGCAGAGCCACAAAACTAGTGCTATCGGAGCCGGAACTGGGACAGCTGGGGACCAGACAAGTAGCATTGTTTCGGTAGAGGTTACCGCTCTTGTGACCCAACTTTAAGGTGGGCACTGCCCTCTCCATGGGCTTTCCATATTGCACCAGAGACTCCTCGAAATGGTCCAGGCACAAGCCAAGACCTGGATCCGTCAGCACTGACAGCTTCAGGTTGTGCTGCCACCGGCGGAGAAGGCTGCGCTCATCCGGCAGCGCCACCAATTTTCTAGCATCCTCGCTCCCGCAGCTGATGACGCAGCATCTTTTGGGTTTAATCTTCACCGGTGTCTGAGGCGGAGTGCTCATCATTAGGTCGGTCTCCATCTCTACCATTTCCATCTGCCTCTGCTTCTGCATGTGCAGCTTCAGTTCCTTCCAGTGGCTGGGGCGAATGTCCGGCGGATCCGATAGCTTCCTCTTGCGACAGTGTTTCAGGCTCCAAAGCCGAAAAACCGAGTGCTGCGGCTGTCCCTGCTCCAAGTCCTGATCCTGCTCCACACCATGGCAGGTGTACCGCAACGGGTCGTCGTGGCCCACGTTCAATGTGGGCACTGCATTCTGTTTCAGCTTGCGAGTGCCGAGCACCTCCGGTTCGAAATGCTCGATGCAGACCCGCCCGACAACGTCATGCGGAAGCAGGTGGAGATTGTCGCACCACTTCAGCAAGAGCTTGCGGTCCTTCGGGAAGCCGAATGTGCTCAGCAGATGGAAGGCCGTGCGCTCCTTGCGACAGTGCTTCAGACAGCAAATGGGGGTCACATTGTTGGCGGGTTTTTCGCGACGCTGGGGTACAGGTGGCGGTGTGGGTGGCAGGTCTGGCAGGAGCTCCTCTGCCTCCTCCTCATCCCCCTCCTCCGGCTCATTCTTCTCCTCCATTTCGTGGTCTTCCGCTTCTTCGTCGCTGGCGCGCTCTGCGAACGTCTCTACCAACTCCAAAGGATCGAAGTAGCTGTCGTCCTTGTCGTCGTCATCCTCGTTGACAGCGGGAACTCCTTCGGGCGACTCCTCTCCCTCGGCCTCTTCCTCCTCTTCGACCATCTCCTGCTTGCAGGTGACCTCCTCCTCCTCCGCCAAGCCAGCCTTGATCGCCTCGTTATCGTAGATCAGTCCCTCGTCGTGGCCGAGCTTCAAGGTGGGCACCGCTCCCGTTTTCAGCTTCAGCTTGCCACGCACCATAGGTTCAAAGTGATCCGCACAGATACGACCGCGGCACTGATCCGGAGTCAGGCGAAGATTTGCCCGCCACTTCTCGAGCAGGTCTTCCGTTCGCGGGTACCGGTAAGTTCGGAGGTCGTTGTCGATGCTCCTTCTCTGGCGGCAGTGGCTCAGGGCACAGGTGGGCGTGAAGAAGCCCGGTATGTTCTTGGGGTTCTCGTAGATGGGCTGCTCCCGATGGCCCAGCTGCAGGGTAGGCATGGCCCAGCTACGAAGCTGCTTGCCGTCGATGCACCGGCGATTGAAGTGAGCGCTGCACACCCTCGTAGACCTGTCCACGTCCTCTGGCTCCAGGCGTAGATTGTGGCGCCACTTAAGGTGCTGCTGCTTGCCCGTCGGAAAGGCAAACAGACGAGCACCATGTTGGAGCCGGCTCCTTCCGCAGCTCCGGACACAGCACTTCAGATTCCCCAGCGATCCTTTTTTGGACTTCACCTGAAAGGATAATATGAGAGGGTGAGATTGGAAGGGAAGGTAAGGGAAGGTATAATCACCTGTCTGGGTCTGGACACTAGTAGTTCTCGAATGTCCGGCTTGATGTCCTCGGGCTCGGTCTCCTCATCCGGAAGCTCCTGCTTGACCACCACCTCGCCGGATTCCGATCCGTCGAGCAGCCGTCGTTGGCGACCAAACAAGTTGCTCTGCAACTCCGCGGGATTGACTTGGAACAGGTCCTCGGTCTCGTCGTGGCCCAGCTCTAGTGTGGGTATCGAGCCGATGTTCAAGCGGGTCTTGCCAATACACACGTCTTCGAAGTGGGCGTTGCAGATCTTGTAGCGCTCTCGCTCGTGGAAGTGCAAGTGGTCCAAGCGGAGGTTGTGTCGCCACCGCTGGAAGAGCTCCGGGTCCTTGGGGAAACTGTTCATCTGGACTTCGTCAAAGCGCCGCGTCTTGCCACAGGTGGGGACCACACACTTGAACACTGGGTCCACGTACCGATCCTCCGGCTTGGGGTTTGGAATGAGTTCTATCTGGGCATCGTCGTGGCCCAGCTCTTGGGTGGGAATGGCCCACTTAAATAGGTGCTTGGGTCCAATGCAGTCCGCCTCGAAGTGCTTGTTGCAGATGCGCACGCCCGTGCAGTCCGCGGGGTTCATCTTCAGGTTGTTGCACCACTTCCACAACATGTCATCGTCGTCAGTGGGGAAGCGGAATAGTCGCACCTCCGGCTGTTCCTTGGATGCCCCGCATCCCTCCACGGCGCAGTGTTCGTCCACAAAAGCCTGCGCCTCGTTGGGGTAGATGTCGTCGTCGTCGTGGCCCAGCTCCAGTGTGGGAATGGCCCCAGCACTGAGCCTTCGCCCGTTAAACGAGTGAGTCTCAAAGTGGCGGGAGCAGATCCGGTACTGAGACCGCATGGAACCCCGCGGACGGGTCCGGATATTGTGCATCCACTTCCGTAGCTGGGACGGGTTGTGCGGGAGCCGGAAGAGTTGCACTCCTTGTGCCCGAGTCTTGCGACAGCTCTCCACGATGCACACGCGCTGCAGGCACAGCTTACTGGCCCTCAGCTTGGCCGGATTCTGGTACACCATATGCCCTGCCGGGGCGTTCAGGTCCAGTGTGGGCACCGCCAGCGGCACCGGGCACTTCTTGCTCAGCACAAGAGGCTCAAAGTGGGCCGAGCACACCCGGCGTTGGGCACTGCCCACCATGGGCACCTGCAGGTTATGCGCCCACTTGGCCAGCGTGGAGCGGTTGTGCTTCGGGAATCGGTAGAGCTGGACATTGTGGAGGGCCCGCACCTTGCGGCAATGAGGCAGGCAGCAACGCGGCACCCAGGTGGGTTTCGCAGAGACCGACAGTTTCGCTTTGGTGTGCATCCGCCGCTTGTAGAGCATCGAAGGCTCCGGATTCTCGTAGAGATTCTCAATGTTGCCGGCCAGGTTGAGGGTGGGTATGGCCCATGGCCGCATCCGCTTGCCGATGCAGTGGGCCTCGAAGTGCAGATTGCAGATTCGCTGGCTCACCAGCTGTGCCGCCTCCGTCTGTAGGTTGTGCGCCCACTTGGCCAGCACAGAGGCCTCCTCCGGAGGGCGGTACAGTTTAATGTCATCCACGCTGGGGTTTCGCTTGCAGGTCTCCACGCAGCACTCGCCCTGCTCCTCCCCGTTGTTGGGGGCTGAGGGCCGAGAGTGGAACTCGGCAACCTGCTCCGGCGTGGGCAGGGGATAGGCAATGTCGTCGTGGCCCAGGGTCAGAGTAGGCACCGCCCACTTTTCCAGGCGCTTGTTCCGCAGGCAACGGTCCTCGAAGTGCACCTCGCAAATGGCGTCGTTGAAGAGCTTGCTGCCGTCCGGAACGGGCCGCTGGAGATTGGCACACCACTTGGTCAGCAACGCCACGTTGCTGGGGAAGCGGTGCAGGTTGGCATGGTCCCGGTCGCGGTTTCGTTTGCAGACAGCCACGCAGCAGGTCTCGCGGATGTTTAGCTTCTTTATAACGTCCGGATTTCGGTGGATGTCCTCGTCGTCGTGACCCAGATGCAGTGTGGGCACTGCGAACGGACGCATGCACCCGCCGATGCAGTAGGCTTCGAAATGCCGGCTGCAGATCCGCATGCCCTTGTGCATCTTGTCCTCGGGTATCTTCAGGTTGTGGCACCACTTGCGCATCTGCTCGGGTCTTCGGGGAATCGTGTGGAAGGTAATGTTCTCGGCGTTGTGCCGTTTGCTCTCACAGCTGGGCACACAGCAGACATCCATACTGTCGCTGGCGTTCGCCGAGGATCCGCCCATCGCCAGGTACGAAGCACTCACCTCCGGATCCACGTAGTGCGAGGTGGAGCTCGCCGAGGACGAAGTGGACGCGGCCGAGTGCCGTTGATAGGACTTGCTTTGTCCAAGATGCAGCTGGTGCTGGAGCGAGTGGTGCGACGGGATATGTTGCTGATGCTGCATGTGCACTTGGCCACTGCCGTGGCTGGTGGAGGGAGTTGGCGGCGGCCACAGCTCGTTCTCGTAGATGTTGAAGGTGTCGTTGTGGCCCAAATGCAATGTTGGCACCGCCCCTGCAAAGATTAAAAGTATATTGGGTTATGGAACTTAGGCATGACCTCGTAGTGACTCACCAGGTGATAGCTTCCGCAAGCCCAACGCCTCCTTGATGAAGTGGGCACTGCATATTTTGTGATTCTTGCCGCGATATACTCCGGGATCTAGGCGAAGGTTATAGCACCAACGGCGGAGGAGGACTTCGTCTCTGGGAAATCTATACAGCGACATATTAAAGTCGGAGGACCTGCTCCTGCGGCAGAAGTTGAGACAGCACCGTTTCTCCTCCACATACAGGTTCTTCGGATTGTCGTGGATCTTTCCGTACTGGGCGCCCAGATGGAGAGTGGGCACAGCCCAGGGCTTAAGACGAAACTTGCCAATACAACGCTCCTCAAAGTGACGGCTGCAGAAGTGGCGCGGCTCCTTGGCCTGGACTGGGAGACGGGCGTTCTGACACCACTTGATCAGGCTCTTGATGTCCTTGGGAAAGTTGTAGAACTTGAGGTTGCTCTCGCCCCGCTGGCTGGTGCAGTGGGGCATGCTGCACCTGGCCACTTCACCGACGGTGAAGGTGTTGGTCAGCTCTCGGTTCTGGTAGAGATTGGCCACGTCGTCGTGGCCCAGGTTGAATGTCGGAACTGCCCAATAGCACAGCGAGTATCGGTTGATGCAGCGCTTGGGGAAGTGCATGCTGCAGATGCGGAAGCTGGCGTAGCTGGAGGCCGGCACATGGAACATCTTGAGGTTGTGCAGCCACTGGTTGAGGTATTTTTCGTCTTTGGGGAACGTGAAGAACTGCAGCGTAGGGCTGGTGCTCTTGCGCACTCCACACAATGGCACACAGCACAGCGCGTCCTCCGAGTCGTCCAGCGTCGAGGAGTTGGCCTGTGGCCCAGCGATGGCACCACTGTGCATGGAAGTTTCTCCGGAGAAGGAGTTGTTGTAGCCGCCATCCTGCACCCCGTACGATGACTCACTGGTCGAGTTACTGTAGCTCCGCTCCAGCTTCACGTTCATCTCCGCCTTGACCGCCGCCGAGGCAGCAAACATGGCAGCGCCATCAGCATTCGCTTGCCGCTGTTGCAGCAAGGAACTGAGAGCCGCCGTGGCCGGCAAGGTGGAGTTGGAGGAGTTTGGCTTGTGCTGCGATGTGTTGGGCACTGGTGGGATAAAAAAAAAAGCATTATAGACAAGTTTACGGAATAATATATAGGTATTATTAAAGCAAAATATTTTTACAAACTTTATGAAAATTGTTTTAGGTTTTAAAAGCGACTAACATAGACCCGACTATCATTTAATCTGCAATATTTTAAGATTAAAATGGAGAAGTCTCTTGAAGTCTTTAAAGAATAAAGCCTACTGACTTTTCAAAGCCTGCTTATGCAAAAAAAAGGTCTCTGATGTTGGTATTTCATTTTTTTAATACCAAAATTAACAAAAATGTGTGCTTTTCCTCACTGACAGTTGGACTTTTTCAAGGATTGCCCCTCGATAGATCCCAGAATCAAAGAATTTAATATCCTAATTAAAAACAGATCCTTTACACATTCTGTGTAGCCCCTAAAATAATTTCTACAATAGCTTTATCTCCTAACCAACTACCAAAACAATGATATTTTGCAGATGACACCTACTCTCCATTGTGGCCATATGGCAATCCTGTAGCTTATAGTTGGTCTGGCTCTGGTGGTGATGTTGCTGCTGAGGTGTCGCCGTGTTCAGCCCTGCCCCGTAGTACTTCCCGCAGTAGTAGGGTTCCGCTAGCCGGTGCTCGTGGAGCTGGAGAGCGGTCTGGTACCACAGGCGGCAAATGGGGCAGTCGAAGCGCTGCTGAAACTTGTGCTGCGGCAGGTGGGAGTAAAGCTGATCCCTTGTGGCAAAAGTGGCAGAGCACATCTAGAAAAGGGATTCGGAATAAGACCATGTCAAGAATGGACCCTATTGCTTGTAACATACGTTGCAGACAAAGCTGTCGTATTCGTGCTGCATGTACTCATGCGCCTCGCACTCGGCAATCGTTTCAAAGTGCTTGCCGCAGTATTTGTGGCAGAAGAATCGGTCGGCCCGATGATGGTTTTTGTGGCGCTGCAGCTCCTCAGCGCTCACGAAGGACATGGGGCAGATGTTGCACTTGAAGTCATACTCCTGGATGCTGCAACTGCTCTCGGCAACGTGGCGTAAGTAGGTCTGCTTCTTGAAGAACACCTCCTTGCAGCGCTGGCAGATCGGCAGGCTCTCATTGCCGGCGAGACGATCATTTGGTGGCTTGCGACGAGGAAAACTATTATGGTTCTGGAAAGGATGGTTCTGAAAGGTGGTTTCTAATCGAGGTTCAAGCTGACTCACCTTGCCGTAGGACTCGTCCTTAACGGTAAGCTCCACTTTGGGACTCAGCATATCCTCGCTGTATTCGTTGAACTTGCTAAAGTCCGCAAACGGGGTGTTGTCGTCTATATAGTTGGACTTGTAGGCCTGTTCGTCCATGGGTTCAGCTTTAGAAATAAAGAAAAGTCCATTAAATGTGGAATATCTCTGCAGATACTTGAATATGTCTTGACCTACCCTATCTAGAGGAATATCCCAACTATCTACTTTCTAATTTAAGCTCTCGGTCACTGTGTAAATTAAAAATATCTACAAGAAACTCTGATGAACTCTGCCCAGATAAAAAGGGAAATATATACCTTTTGTTTGTTTGTTGCTATGGTTTCGTATATGCATTGTATATTGTTCTGAACTCCCACTTTTACTTGATAAGAGAGTGATGTACACATAATGAATTAATAGATAGCAGAGACATCTATATGTATATGCCTTCTATTTTAAATTAAAAGTACAAATATTTAGGATATTAAACTGAAAGATACAATAAAATATCTGCGACATCCTTTAGATACGCCCCGCCCTTTTGCCAGTTACAGGAATATAGGGGGCGGAGACCATATAAGTAGGTTAGTCTATGGGAGACCGGGTTACATAAGATGCCTCTCCAAAGACAATCCCAACAATAGAAAAAAATATATCATATAATAGATATGTAGCTGGTGGCTGATGGGATATGAAATGGTATGCGTTGAAATCGAACTGGCCTAGGTTACGCCGGTTGTATAGAGCATCTATCCGAGTATACATTTGCTAAATGGATACATACAAACGGCCGTACTTTCGCACACAAGTCGAGCGACAAAAAAAAATAAAATAAAACACGGAACAGAACAGAACCGAACCGAACAGCAGAGATATGTACGAAACCAACCGAACGAATCGGGCGCCAAACCTCAGCGAAACTTGGGCATACGTTTTATTGATTCGACGGCAAAAACGGAGCTGAAATTACACTACCTATAGGAAACCGTCCCCAAGTAACTGACTGCGACTGTGTGCTGGCCCGTGTCTGTATCTGTATCTATAGGAAAATGGATTTTGCGCTTAAGTTTTCCGATTTTCCAGCGCCCATTAATCGTCTTCAAATGGATACCAAAACTATCCTTACATTTTATGATCATTTCCGGGGCCGGAGGCAGGGGTGGTGGCGGTGCCATGGGGTTTGGCGGGTGCTGGAATGCCTCCATGGGTTCGCTCTTGATGTAGGGATAGCTGCTGCCGGCCATGACTTCGTGGCCCATATAGGACCGCTGGCCCAGGTGCGATTGCTGCGAGTGTTGCTCCTGCTGCTGCTGATGGTGTTGCTGGTACTGGAGCAGCTGGTTGTGGGCATAGGCCACTGTGTTGGCCCCAAGGCCGTAGGTCGAGCCTACGGCGCCCCCTCCACCGCCGCCTGCCCCTCCTACTCCGACACCTATGCTGCCGCTGACATTGCCGTAATAGCCATGCGTGCCACCACCCCCTCCGTAGGCACCCATGATGGAGTTGTTGTTGGTGCTGCTGCTGTTGCTGGCGGCCTTGCAGGGGAGTGAGGGGTTGAAGGCCGTATGGGAGGGTGGGTAGGAAGCAACATGTGAGTACCAACTGCTGGCATGTTGCTGCTGCTGCTGTTGCTGTTGCTGAAGCTGTTGTTGATGTTGTTGCTGTTGCTGGTGCTGGTGCTGCTGTTGCAGGGGCAGCGACAAAGAGGCGTGGTGGTAAGGATAGTGCGGATGGGGTTGCGGGGGAACTTGGTGGGGTTGGTTATGTTGTGACATCACGGACGGGTGAGTATTTATTTATCCCAATTCGAATATGCAGGCGCGCGCGTTTCCTCTCTTTTTCGCACGCTCCGTCTTTTTTCGTTGGCGTCTTTTATATACCAGTTTTTCGTTTGCTTCCGTCTGTGTGTATGTATCGCAATGTCATTTTAGTTACTGACCACTGGAGGTCCTTTGACTGCATTGTACACCACCCAAACTTCACACTTGACACTCTGTGACTGCTATAGCGGCTGCAGTCCAATTGGAATTCTTAATATTTATCATTTTTCGCTTCGGACAGCTTCGAAGGAGACAACAACAAACTATGATCTAGTGTGGCCAAGCCGTACATTACCAAAATCCTTTTTCAGGGTTTTGGCCTTACTCCGATTAAAATTATAATTACGCTAATTTTAAAATAGAAACAAATTTTACTAACTTTTATTGATTCCAATTTCTCAACCAAACTTGAGTGGATTAATTTTTAAAATGTATTTATCCAATTGCTGATAAGGCCAACTTTTATCGTTTACCAACACTGTTGCAGAATAACGATATTTAAATTTTCATTTCTTTTCGTTTTTTAAAAATTAAAACAAATAACAATAACTATTAAGTAATTTATTCAACTATGTAACTTTTGGCCCCACCACGCTTACTCGCTGCTGGAGCTTCTCTTTGATCTCCTCACCATCCACCACGAACTGCTTCTCTGCTAGACGTACTAGAGTTCGCCTCAACTGCGACTTGACCTGGACCACTTTCGTGGAGTTCATAGCAGATATAGGGACTATACTTTCGAACTTAAGCACCTGCTTGGGTCGAAGTTCCTCGGGGCATTGATCCAGCCCACTGGCTAGGTCGTCAATGGTCGGTTTAATTTTGGTTAAAATCTCGTGTGCTCCTTCCTTGTCCATCTTGTTTAGCAACAACACACTGGGCTTTTCCAACAGGGACGGATCGTAGAGTTCTAGCTCCTTATTCAGTGCGTATATGTTGGCCAAACAATCTCGGTGAGGATGTCGTGGGCTCAGCTGGAAGCCGAATATGTCGACCATGAAGAGTAATAGTCGTGTCCGTTCTATGTGCTTAAGGAACTTGTGTCCCATGCCAAAGTTGGCGTGGGCTCCTTCGATGAGCCCGGGCAGATCAGCCACTGTGATGGAGCGCAGGTCCTTATACTCTATCGTACCGATTTGAGGCCGAATTGTGGTAACTGAATGATAAAAGATAACAATGAATTAAAGGAAATTCAAGTTTTTAAACAACGTTTACTTACACGGATAAGCAGCTATCTTCGGCTTTGCATTGGAGACTGCTTTAAGGAGCGTGCTTTTGCCAGCGTTAGGAAAGCCGACAAGTCCGACGTCCGCGATGAGCTTTAGGTCTAGGTTGACAATTCTATTTTCCCCGGGACGGCCTATGAAATTGGTGCCGGTGCATCCGCCCACACCTCCTCCGGCAACAATGCAGGTGGCATCGTTCTCGTTGAGGTCGGCAATTAATTTTTGTCGCTCATCATAGACTTGGACGCCTACAGGCACCTCAATGCGTTGGTCAACTCCTCGTCGCCCGAAAATACTGGCCTTGCTACTGTCTTCGCCGCTGGAGGCGACTACCCGCTTATCCTTTAAGCTCTGAACCACCTTACGAAGCGTCAGGCCCTCTTTGGCCACAAAATAGACACAGCCGCCCTGTCCACCGACTCCTCCATACTTGGGTATTCCGTTTCCGCCATGTCCGCCTCGCACCGCTAAGCGTAGAGTGTCCAGAAAGGTGGGCCGAAAGTGAGCTCGAGCCGGCTGGGAGGAGAAGGATTATTTATCACTCGAATATTGAATTTAATCACTCTCTCCTACCGCTTTGGTTGATTTTAATAGAAATTTAAACAACTGCACCATCGCACCGCATTATACAACAGAGATGAGCGAAGGACTATCGATATTTTTGTCCATTTTATAGAAAATCAAAGATTGAGAAGAATAACCAGACAATATAGGGCTATAATTGAAAAAATATTATATTATTTGTTTAATATACAAACACGACCAACATAAATTTATTTAAAAAGGAGTTATTTCAAACCGATTACAAGAATATATCGATTAACTCTAAGAGGTAACAGCTGATTGATAAAGAAAACAAAGACCAGCACGTGCGATTTGTTTATTGTGAGACATGGAGCCGGGCATCTGCTATATAAAGCCAGAGTAAGAAAATTAATGAGAAAACAAGGTAAACTATTATATATAAAAAATCTTACAGATATCAAGTAGCTGAGGCCAATGCTGGCAGGGAGGAAACAGCTCCAGACAACGGCGACAGCTCCAAGAGAAAGCGTGAGGATGGGGATTCAAATGAAGCCGGCGAAAGAAAGAAGTGGAACAAGAAGGAGCGCAAGAGGGGCCAGAACAAGGTATGTAATGAATGTCGAAATAATTATAATTCCTATTATAATAATAAAACCATTATAAAACCTCAGAATCGCCCCGTGTTCAAGGATGAGAGGTACTCACATCTCTGCCACTCTCTGATGGAGGGTACGGGCGGAGAACCATGCTCCTTGGCCAACTGTCGCTACGTTCACGATCTGGATGAGTATTTGGCGGCAAAGGGCGAGGATCTGGGCACGGAATGCTATGTGTTCAACACAAAGGGATATTGTGCTAGGGGGGTCAGCTGCCGCTTTGCCAAGGCCCACACGGATGACAAAGGGAGGAATATAAAAAAGGAAGGCTATGACGAGAGTGCTAGCCAGACTACTTTCAATGGAATAAGTTCAGGTGGGCTATATATGGTATATACCTGCATGAACTTTCATCTTCAATAAATCTCTTTCACATCAGATCTCCAGGTGCGTCTTCGCAAGCATGACTACGATTTTAGACGCAGCAAGGAACTCATTAAACAGGCAGAGAAGCTCCGCGATGAACGAAAGCAACAGCTCCAATCAGACAAGGACAAAAAAGAAGTATCTGAAGAAGGAAAAGCTTCATGTGAAGAGTCTCAGGATAAGATTAAGCCACCAGAATCAAATAATGAGCCGTCTACAGAGACACCCTCTTCTGTGGCCAATAGCAACCAAATTGGCTGCATTATCGATGATACTCCCACCGGACGAGATGCTTTACGGAAAGCTGCTGTCGATTTCAGAGAGAAACTTGTCCTGTCACCTCTAACCACCGTGGGAAATCTGCCATTTCGACGTATCTGCAAAGAGTTCGGTGCAGACATCACCTGTGGCGAAATGGCATGTGCCCTGCCTCTGGTCAAAGGAATGGGGCAAGAGTGGGCTTTGACTAAACGCCACCAGAGCGAGGATGTGTTCGGTGTGCAGCTGTGTGGAAACAATCCAAACATTATTAACCAGGCTGCTCAGTTGATTGAGGAGACGGCGAAGGTGGACTATATAGACTTGAATATAGGCTGTCCTATCGACTTGATCTATCAGCAGGGCGGGGGTAGTGCTCTCATGCGGCGCACCAACATCCTGGAGTTGACTGTCCGCAGTTGCTCGGCTATGTCGGAAAGGTTGCCGTTCACTGTCAAGATGCGTACCGGGATATACGCGGACAAGAGCGTGGCTCATGAGCTACTACCTCTGGTTGAGGAGTGGGGCGCATCTGCCGTAACGCTGCATGGCCGCTCTAGGGAACAGCGCTACACAAAGCACGCGAATTGGAACTACATTGAAGAATGTGCCGCTAAAGCCAAGGGGATTCCAGTCATTGGTAATGGCGACATTCTTAGCTACGAGGATTACCTCGAGCGCCGAACACTGGCTCCACATGTAAGCTCGGTTATGATTGGGCGCGGGGCGCTCATCAAACCATGGATCTTCCAGGAGATCAAGGAGCAGAAGGCTTGGGCTCCATCATCCAGTCAACGGTTCGAGCTGATGCGCAAGTTTTGTGACTATGGTCTGGAACACTGGGGCTCTGATACCAAGGGTGTGGAGACAACGCGACGCTTTCTCTTGGAGTGGCAGTCATTTCTGTACCGATATATACCCGAGGAACTGCAGCAGGCGCCGCCCCAAAAGATCAATGCTCGGCCGCAGAAGTACCGTGGCCGTGACGAAATGGAGACGCTAATGAGTTCCGGCAATGCGTCCGACTGGGTGAAGCTCAGCGAATCCTTACTAGGTCCCGTTCCCGAGGGCTTCACTTTTGTGCCTAAGCACAAGGCGAACGCTTTCTAAAACCGCCTTTAAATAAAACTTTTAGTAAGAGAATTTTATAAGAATTACTTGGATGATTCAGTAAAGTAGCAATAACGGATTTTCAGACTTTTGTTAAATGTTTCTCAAAATAAATATTTACTTTATGATTATTTTTGTATCTTTTTTTACGAATTGAAATATTTCAAGAAAGAATGCTATTTTAAAAGTTATTGGATTTCAAAACCGTGCCAACATCCGGATGGGATTGCAATACCAGGACTACTGCAGAAAGAGGTGTAGAAAGCTGATAAGAACAGATACCACACTATGATCTTAGCCATGATTGATCTTTGATCTACGGAGGATTAAGCTGGAACTGGTTGGGCACTATTTAAAGACTGACAACGTCTAGAATCACCTTCAACTTCTAGGATAAGGACTATAAATAAGTTTCCTGTTTCTTGATTAAAAAACTTATTATTGTTTACTCATTATTTAAAATACAAAATCACTTCAAGTAGCTCAGGGCTTCCTCCACGTCGGCCTTGGAGCCAAGGAATATAGGGCTGCGTTCATGAATCTTTTTGGGAACAATATCCAGGATGCTGATCTTTCCGTCGCTGGCCAGTCCACCGGCCTGAATCATGAGGTAGGCCATCGGGTTACACTCATAGAGCAGTCGCAGTTTTCCATTTGGGGCCGACTTGGTCGCCGGGTAGATGAAAATTCCGCCGTACTTGATGGTTCGGTGGACATCGGCCACCATGGAGCCTACGTAACGGGCCCCGTATGGCTTTCCCTTTGTCGGATCCTTCTTGGCACTGATGTAGTTCACCACACCCGCTTCCCAGTCGCTGGCGTAGCCCTCGTTGATCGAATAGATTTTTCCCTTCTCGGGAACGCGCATGTTGGGATCGGTCAGGATGAACTCACCAATGGCCGGATCATAGGTAAAGCCGTTCACCCCGGAGCCCAGTCCAAGGACAATGGCGGTGGCAGAGCCGTATAGGGCATATCCTGCGGCCACCAACTGATTGCCAGGCTGAAGAGCATCTTCGACGGTCGGAGGTCCATCATTCTTCTTGCGGTAGATGGCGAAGATCGAACCGATCGACACCAGGCAGTCTATGTTGGAGGAGCCGTCCAGCGGATCGAAGCACACGATGTATTTTCCCTGAAAACCAAAGACGAAACCGGGAAAGTAAATAAATTAAAGTGAAATTCAAGCAATTCACTGGAGTAATTGAAAACCTTACCTGTCGATCCACTTCCACTTCAATAACATTCTCGTTCTCCTCGGACACCATCAGGCAGGTTGTGTAGGATGACTTGAGCATGTTGATGAACAGCTCGTTAGAGAGAACGTCCAGTTTCTTCACCTCCTCGCCCTGGACGTTCACGTCGCCAGCGATGCCGTGAAGCTTAGCGATTCCTGCCTTCCGCACCGCCGAGGCGGTGGCCTTGATGGCCGTCTGGATGCAGTTGAGCAGTTGTGACAGGTCACCAGTGGCGCCCTTGAATTTACGTTGCTCCTGAAGCACGAAACGCGTCAGCGTCATCGCGTTGGAGTCGAAAGCTGGACCCTGTTGGCTCATTTTGGCTAAATGGAGGGGAAAATTTATTACATTTTATTTTGTTAGGAAGTAGTAATTTTAGGAAAATAATAAATAAAATAAATAAATTATAAAAGGAACACATTGGGACTATTGGGCGGGCAAAATGGCAGGCGGAAAAGGCTTGGGGAAAATGGCGGCTTGGAAGGGTCAGCAGGACTTGGCAGCAGGAAGCAGCAGGAAAGAGGAAGCTAGTTCACTTACAATTACCGTTACTCGCCGCCATTATCGGGTAAATTTTAGTTTTCTGTCTAAATGATGCGGTTCCTGTGGGGATCCATAAAAATAAAAACAATTACTAGCATGAAGGTCAAACCAGCAACCCTCTTGACTTTCCATTCGACAAGTATTCTATCAGATGGTTTTTGGGGGCTTGTTGCATAAAAACCACTATCAAGACTTGTCACTCTGAGTATGCGTGCTTGTTGTCTGCGGTTGTGGTGTCTTGTTTTTTGTTTTTTTTCTAGCTGATAACCAGTTTTTCATGCAGGAGAATCAAAAATGTATCAAGTAAAATTTATAAAAACCGGAACCAAAATATACTACTTTACTCTGGGCAATTTCCATATACCGACACGTGCCCCCTTATTTATTTTTGGAACATCTCCGGCAGACTCACGATTAGCTATATATACTAGATGTCTACATATAGCAATACATTATCTATAGAAATCTTAAATATTTGTACGTGTGTATCATTCATCCACACAGAAATGAATTGAATGACTTTCAGACGTGTCCTTAACACTGCTGTGACCCCAGAGACTTGTGGAGCTTCCGAGAACTGAAAACCGAAATGCACTTTCACTTACAACAACTCAGGGGGAAGACTGGTCAAAATAATGAACCGCTCTCTACGGCTGCACTAAAAAAACTGCCAGTTGGCTTTAATCCATGGCAACGACAGCAGTGGGAAGAAACCCGTGGATACGTCACTGCTGCCTTATCATTTTCGAGGGTATCTTCACTGTGTTGAAGAGTATTTTTTAAATAAAATTAAATAAAAACAATAATCATATAGACTTGGGGTTATAAGAGTTATAGGCCGGTCTTATGTGCATGAAAATAAGCTTCAATATAAGTAAAATAAATCTATGACATAGGATCTTCTTGTTTAGTGCTCAAACACCTGACAATTTTAATATATATACTTGTGTAATATATGAAAAGGGTATTTAAATGTCTGCTAAGTTGTAGTATTTTCCCGTTTTGTTTTGTTTTCTAGGGTATGCCTCTGACAACGTCCAACTGATAGCATGTAAATAAAATATATACAAACATAAGTATATAAAGGAGAGTCCCAGACTCTCCCAGAGCCCCAGACCTGAAAAGAGAGTTGGACGTTGGGGAGCATAAGCTGCGGGAGCCATATGATAAAAATAAGAGAAGAGAGTTGGAGCCTTTGTGCAGAAAATGGAGCTATATTTAAAGCTCAAAAGTTATTTGTTAATTTAATATTACTTTAACTAATGATAGCTGACACTATTCTTCCGTAGTCGTAAATATAGTACCTATAAAGAAAACTCTTGAGATTGTTTAAATACTTAATACTTGTAGAATGTTAAGTGGCATGTGTGATTTTTATGACCTACCGGTTCTATTGGAGGGAGGCTCGTCCCAGACTGTTTGTTTTCACTTAAACACCCTATCAAAAATATGATAAGACAAGTCTCCTATATATGTATTAAAACCTATTTACTTAGTTTTTGTTAAATGCCAGAGGTTGAGACGACAGTGCCTTGTCATTGCTTCGACCTCAGAATGTATTTCATTTTTGATTATCTCTCGATTTTTGTTAATTTGCGTCCGATTAGAGTGTTTCTATAAATTAGAACGTATAACACGATTTTTAAATAAAATTAAAGTGTGTCGGAAAGTCTACAAACTAAATATACATCCACCTTCAAATAAATATATATTTTAATATAGTATAAACATTAGAAAACATACATATTTGGTTTTTGATTTAAAATGAGCGAAACGCACAGACTAGGTTCATAGTCCAATAAATCTTTCCATTATATTTTTCTTAATTATACTTACTTTTTCAATATTAAAAGCATATTTTTATTTTAAAATACCCTTCACTGGGGAATTCCTGTTAACCCATGATTATCAATCAATTGGAAACATTTAACATTCGCCTCCTTCGTGAAGGATAAAATGGCTGGCGGAAACCCGCAATTATTTTGCCATTGTTAAGAGTTCATCCAGCCACCCCAATTCAATCGAAACTCGCCCACTTTCCGCCCACCCACTTTCCATGGAACTTGGCCATGCGCAAGGCGTGGCTGGCACTCAACCCCATACCCAGATGGCTCGTCTTTAACCATATTAGTTGCTACTTTTTGTTGCCGTTCAATTGGGTTTGATTGCCCCCCAGTCAGTCGGGAGGAATGGGAAGCTGTGATTATTCATTTTTGTCCGTTTATTGTAAGCACTATGCTATGGGTAACACGTCAAGGGCTAGGGAACTGTATGATCTTAAAATGGAAGTACTCGAATATAATCACTAAAATGGATTAGATTTAAGGTTATTATTTGCTTAGTCGTAACTCTGACTAGAATGTTGCTCATTCAAGATTTAAATATTTACAAATTGGTGTCCTACAACGAATTTCTATAAAACTTAAACTTAAATTTATAAAATAATGTAAAGAACTGTTAAACTAAAGGTATATTTTTTAAGATTTAATTGTGTAATAAAATCTTTGGTGCGGTTTTAAATAGTATTCAAATAAATAAATAACAATTTGTTCTGTTGATTTTAAATAAAATACCAAAAAATATGACTTATACAAAAGATTCGCATTAAAAATCTATGTTAACTGATAGAGCTTGGAATCACCGACAATATCCACGTCACTGGAGTTGTCTTCGTCCTCGCTGTCCGCCTCCAGATCGGAGTAGTCGTCCGTGGAGTAACCCTGCTGCATCAGGCACATCTGTAGCTGCTGCTGTTCGCTCGTGGACTGGGTGGACACGGCCCCGGATGCGGAGCTCAGTTTGGCGTGCTTGGGATCCGAGGAGGAGGCTTCGGACGGATGCTTTCCCAGTTCGGTGCGTGAGAAGTCAACGGGTTCTGCGGCAAAAGTCAAAGAAAATGTCCAAAAATTTTACAACTTTGATTAATTTGATTTGAAAAGCAACTTGAAGGAAACTTTTCGGCATCTCAAGGAGACAACTAAAAGCCAAAAATTTAATTGAAAGGTCAAAAGTTTCTCAAAGAAACTAGCAGCACTCAAGGAAACTATTTTGAAGTTGGCTTATTTTACTAAAATGTATAAGTTTTGCAAGAAAAGGATGAAAATTGAGTGTATTATTAATATTTCTAAAGTTTTATCCTTAAAATAAGATCTATTTTATGTATTTTAATTATATTTTATAATTAAAAGATTGCTGGTATACAATCTACACAAAATGGCATCACAATGGCATCTTTAAAAATGGCATCACACAAAGATTCCAAAGTTTATCACTCATACGCCGCGTTGTCCTGTCATAGGTTTGGAAAGACAAATGTGGCAATGACTCACCATTGGCATTATCTCGTCGCCGTAGCTGCTTTTTGTGCTTCATCCGCCGGTTCTGGAACCAGGTCTTCACTTGCGTTTCACTCAAGCCCAACGCAGTGGCCAGCTCCACCCGCTCCGGTGTTGAGAGGTACCGCTGCGCCTCGAACCGTTTCTCCAGGCCGGATAGCTGCGGGTCACTGAACACTGTGCGGGCCTTCCTTCGACGGCAGTGGCGCAGGGCATTCACCCCCATCCCCAGACCGAGGGCCAATTCCGGCACGCACCCAGGCGCCCCGAAGAAGGGCGCTCCTCCGAACAGGCTGGCTGCAAGGACCAACAGAAAATTTCGTTAACTCCATTGTAGTTTCAATAAAGAGAAACTTTCGGTGTTGATGGCCATTGACACCAGATGGGGATGCAAAGGTCTAGGCGAGCTTCACCACAAATTAGGGGGTTTTGAGAAAAAACCCTCTACCTTATGCTATATTTTATTAAACAATGATTTCACTACTCCTTTCAACAGTCACTGTACCTACCTTGTGAAAGAAAATAGGGATCCACCGACTTGTAGGTCCCCGATGATGGTGACAGATAGCCGAGGGTCATCTGAAGAAAGCCATGATCGGTGTAGGGCGCATTTGGGTACAGGACTCCATTGGGACCTCCCGCTCCTCCACTTGGCGGCGGAGGAGGTGGCGGAGGCACGGGCACTGGTGGTGGTGGGGGATGCTGCCCAGTCGCAGATCCTTGCTGAGCCGTCGGATCAGAGGAGTACGCAGATGATCCAGAACGTTGATGATGGCTGCCTCTAACATAACAAAGATTTAAAAATATATTAAATTAAACTTCAATTGTCTATCAAATCTATTAAGTTCATATACAAAATTCAAGGAAGTATTTTCTGATATTTAAATTATTGAAAAATGTAAATAAAAACAAACATAATATACAAACAAAACATATAAACAAACTTAAAATTTTTATCCAAAAATATTAAATATTATACATTGATTTTTAATAAAATCGATATGGAGAACAGAACAATTTTTTCCAGTAATCCCATTTTTTAAATCTCAATATTTTGTAAACTTAATCACAGACACAGTTTTTGAAATTCTGCAATACTTGTTAGCTAAAAACCTATATTCTTATTGGAACATAATGCCAATACCCCAGGGATATTCTCCTATGAGTATCGGATAAACATATAAAAGGTTTTTTTTTTGTTTATTTTCTAGGATATATCTCAAGGATGTTTTCCTATAAATATCGTATAACCGCACCTATCATCACCTAACCATTTTTTTGAAAAACCCTCCAGTGTACATTATCCTTCAATTTGACTAACCGTTGTGTGGTGTGCAAGGACTTGGAATAATCCTCGCTACCGTATCCCGACGCTCCTTGGCCTCCGCGAGCAGCTGCCGTCGCCGCCGCCACTACGGATGCCGATGGGGAAGTCGAAGCAGCGACGGTCGGATGAGATGGCATGAAATGCGAAGAATGCTTCTGTAGATTATTGTCATGGATGAAGCTGCTCCTGGCTATGGCACTGGCACTGGCACTTTTCACAGCATTCTTGGTGTTTTTTTGACCGGACACGTAATTATTGGTATTGCCGCTGTTATTGTTTAAAGCGTTATTGCTACTGTTATTATTGGCACTATTTAAATTTGGAAACAGTATGTGCTCGATGGAGAACGGGGTTTTGGTTGCCAGCATTGTGGTGACACTGACGCCCGCCGCCTTGCTGTGCGTGGGTGCGGCTGCAGTGGGTCCGTGTGCATCCACGGGACTCAAGCTGGCCTCATTAAGCATCGCCATCGGCTGGGTGTGGAACTGGAACTGGAAGTGGAAGTGGGTGGAAGTCGGAGTGGTAGGGTGTCCCGTCTGCCGTGCAGCGAGTATATCGTATATCGTATATGTCCTATGTCCTTGGGCTGCGCGCTTATGTTGTTTGCTCGTTGACGGTCGCGTTGAGTTTGCGGCAATCACCGCACATCAACCAGCAAATTGCTCCAAACGAGCAGCAGCAGCACCAGCATCCTGCAGGAGTGTGCGAGCGAGTGGGCTGCAGCAGCGGCTCGTGCAAGCGAGAGGGGTGCAAAGGCCTGCCACCCCCTGCCGTTCGCCGCCTACGATTCGATGCACTTGGCATTTTGTGGTGGCCGTTTAGAGATGCCCGGAAAAGGGGGTGCACCGAATTTACGGCGTAATCTCCTGCTAGAACATAGAACACACCCCCAATTTGCATGTGCATACGGTCGTCTCACTCACACAAAAATTGGAGCTCCCATTTTTGCATCTCTGCTGGCATCCATCCTTTGGTCGTCCGATTAGCCAGTTCCTTTGGTCCTTATGCGCTAAAAGCACTATTTAATTGACCCATGATAACCACAAATCATTGGCACAACTATGCCACGTCGTCGTCGACGTCGCCATCGGCAGCACAGAGGCCCGGAAGCATGGCTGCCGCCATTTTGAAAGGCATCCAATTGCCCACAGGCCCCCCCGAACTACCGTTGCGAATAATTAACGTGTCATGGCCGCCATGTCTGTTGTCTGATGTGCATGCATTAAATTCATTAAATGCCGCAATTATTATAATTGAATTAAACAAACGTTTTCGTGGGGCGCAAATTGGATCGTCAGGACATTTTCTGTGCCAGTGTGTGTCTGTGTGTGTGTGTGGGGGGCCAGGCGTGGAGCCAACGCAACTGTACTTAATGAGCGGGGAGCCTTTTGTCTGATAAAATACGCTCTGCCTTTACAGTTATTAATTTATTGCTCGTTTTTGAACAAAAATATGTGCTTGGCCGTAATTCAATCAGGACCCAACATAGCCGTACACCACCCCCTCGGGGAGCATGCCAACCACCCCACCCATTTCCACCCAACACACACGGGGCGTGGCTTTCATCCCACCAGCGACCAATCAGAGAGACGACGCCACAGGGTTGTTTGCTCAATAGCTTTGTCCTCTTCCATCGCAAAGGACACTGTAAGGACACTTTTCTGCCGGGCTTGATGGAGATGTCCGGGACCGGGGAGATGGACATCCGGGGGAGAGAAAGAGCATGCTGACGATGCGACCAAAAAGCAAGACAAATTTGCTCGTTTTATTAATAAAATAAGTCACGCAAAGTAAGTCGAACATCATTATTAGGTTAAAGCCCTAAAACGGGCGCATTAGGTTGGAGTTCGTATGATCAAGGGTGTAAGGGTTGTGGGGGGAGGGCTATTCCTATTCCCAGTGGGAAAGGTCAAAATGCCACTGCTCTCATCTAGGGACATGGAATCCGTTTATTTGATTTAATACCTAATTACCAAAGAGCTTTTGTATAGATTGAATATGTTTTCTATTCATATGGTTTTCAAAAATTCAAGAATTTTAATATACTTCCTTAAAGATATAAAAGGCTATATAAAACTATATATAACACATTTAAAATTAACATTAAATGAATAAAATAGTATAAATATTTTTCACAGTTCCTTATTTTTTAATTACTCACCTTTGACACTCAAAATGTGCAAAGGACAATGGGAACCTGTCTACCAGTAGATGAAGACTCCTCAACTCATTTCACCTGGATGAAAGCACTTAACTTATTTCCCCAACAGGCTCCAAGGCCCCATCCACCCCTCCGGTTAGCTTCGTTGTCATCCATTGTTATCCAGTTGACATGAACGTGCGGAAGAGCGTGTGTCTGCCTTTACCTCTAGCTGTTGAGATTTTAAAATCGATTTTTTCCCAGTCTAGTATTTTTTTAAAACAAAAATTCCCATGTCCATGTTGGCAGATCATATTCACGTGAAATCGTTTAGTTCGCCTAATTTGCGTGTGCAACTATGGTATAGTACTACTCCTGTGGTGCACGTGTCCCGTCAGTTCGGATAAGCCAAATTTTTATAATGATAAAAACGTAGCCTCATATTTGGCATCGAATTGCACAGCCACTTGCGGTTTCCCCGAATAGGGTGTTCCATCCCAGGGCAATTACAACATTTTGTGTCAGTTTGTCTGGCAAATCCTTTGTATTGTCGACAAAGAAGTCCTCGTTTTTTCAGGGCTTACGTTAGCATAATTCCTTGAAATCAAAGCTGAAGTGTGTCACCGATCAGGTTACATAAGCCAAAGGCCGTGCTCGGATTCAGGATTGGGGTCGCCGTTGTCTTAAAGCGGCACATCGCCTCAGATCCTTTTTCCGCATTTAAGTTTGATTCTCGGTAAATTAACTTTTGATCCAAGCAACACAAACTTGAACATCCTTGCGGGTCCTTTGTTATTGTTACGGCAGCGGGGCCTCTGAGAAGGAACATAAGTGGCTACATCCTTAAAGAGGGTCACCAATAGCAAGTGCCACTTCCTTTGCATGTATCCTTTTATTTCTAAGAATAAAAAATATAGTTTTTAAATAGAAACTACTTTGCTGTAGTTAGTTTATAAAACTTATATGATATTTTTAATTACTCTTCGGTACCGCCCACTAAACATAAATGTCAAATCCGAGGGTTAGAACTCAAAGCAATCCGACATTTTTGGGATGTGCAGCAGTAAAGTGCAATTTGCGACAATTACGCGAGGTAAATTGAATTAATTAGGAAACTACATGACTGTAGAAGCCAACAAATGTGTATCAAAATATCAGCTATGTTCACCAGCCAGCACCCCCTCTGATAAAATCGGAAAATGCCAGCAAATTACAAACTGCCCTTCGACAAATCATCGTGTGCACATATTTCGATGTAATTTAATATGTGGCACGCGTTCCGGAAACTTTTCTCTGTGTTGTGTGGCTCTGCTTTTTCTACTTCGCACGTATTTTTATTTGGATTTTTTTTTTCAATTTTGTTGTTTGTCGGCTGGGAAAGGACTCGGCGAACTTGTGACTCCTCATGGTCCTGGATTCATCTGCAATTGTTGCCAATGAGAGCAATTGTGTGCTGCAAGGGGTGAGTGGTGGAATGGCCATAGAGTGGAGGGAGGTATGTGGATAATTGCATTTGTTAGGACTCTAATTGTCTGGGCGGGCTGGGGCGGTGGCAGGGTGAAAAGGTTACTGTGCCTAGGATCACAACAAGAGGCTTTTAATAAGCAACCAAGCGCCTCTACCGCCCCCAAAACCCATACTCCGGAAACTCCCGGTCCTCGGGTATCCGAATACGCGGAAGCGGAAAAAGTGGGTGTTTTAACGATCCTAAATCCTTGATATAGAAAATGTTTTAGCCGAGAATCGCTTAAACATAATTATGAGCTACAATAATTAATGGAATATCAAAATTAAATTATAGTTGTCTGGATGAATCGGGTTCATTCAAAGATTTTGGATAAAATATTAGTAACTAGTTTCTTAAAATTAAGTCTAAAATCATCAAAGAATACCATATTTATCCGAAGCCAAGCCATGCCAAAGTACTTGTGACGAAATCTGGGTGGGTGGAGAGAAGTCATCTGCTGATTTGGCCCCATGAAGAGGCTTGTTATGTTTATTCTAAAATAATTGCCAACACGTGCCCTATCAGCGTCAATCAACGCAAACAGAGAGCCCGAGAGAATTCTCAGAGACTTGAAAAATCCGAGACGAGCTCCGTCCCGGGCAGAAGCAAAACGTTTTCGCACTTATGCACATCATTTAGTGCATTCAGTGCTGCGAGCCCGCATTGAAGGATATTCGTCCTTTGGTGGTTGCTCAGCTTCCGCGGTAAGTAGCCGACTAACAACAGCAATAACATCAACATCACAAGCTGATTCGGCGATAAGACACAGGAACGCCGTCGAGCCCCTCCTCTTGCCGCACTTCTGACCCGTTGCGCGTTTCTATGGCGATTTAATCAAATTAATTTTCTCACGTGTTCTTTTCGGCTTCCGCCCAGCAGGTTCCAGCGGTAGCGTTAAAGGAACAAATCTCACAGCTAATAAAATTGCGGGCATATGACAGAGCCGTGGGTGGTGCAACGCCTCCCGCCTCTCCTTAACTGGATTTTATTAGCCAGCCAATAAGGAAATAAAAGATCAGTGGGAGGCCTACAACTCTATTTGTGTTTCCACAAGGCAACTTTATTTCTTTTTTGTTAATGGGCTTAAGTTTAATTTAATAAAAGCAAAAAAATACAAAAACTGTTCAAGATATTCCACTAATAGATCCGATATAAATTGGCAAAGATATAGATTTAAATAGGTGCCATAGAGGAATATCCTGGTTTTTGCAAGGGGTCCCATGGCAAAAATTGAAAAAAATCTCGATCAAAAATTTGTTGCCAGGATTTTGATGCAGATTTGATGGAAATCGAAATACGAATCGTTTAAGGTATTCCGCTTAAGGATCAGATGGATACTGCCAAAGATATAGACTTGGATAGGTGCCATAGAGGAATATCCTGGTTTTCGCAAGGGGTCCCATGGCAAAAATTGAAAAAATCTCGATCAAAAATTTGTTGCCAGGATTTTGATGCAGATTTAATGGAAATCGAATTACAAATCGTTTAAGGTATTCCGCTTAAAGATCAGATGGATATTGGCTAAGATATAGACTTGGGTAGCAGCCATAGGGGAAAATCCTGGTTTTCGCAAGGGGTCCCATGGCAACAATTGAAAAAATCACGATCAAAAATTTTTTGCCAGGATTTTGATGCAGATTTGATGGGAATCGAAATACGAATCGTTTAAGGTATTCCGCTTAAGGATCAGATGGATATTGGCTAAGATATACACTTGGATAGCAGCCATAGGGGAATATCCTGGTTTTCGCAAGGGGTCCCATGGGAAAAATTGAAAAAATCACGATCAAAAATTTGTTGCCAGGATTTTGATGCAGATTTAATGGAAATCGAATTACGAATCGTTTAAGGTATTCCGCTTAAAGATCAGATGGATATTGGCTAAGATATAGACTTGGGTAGCAGCCATAGGGGAAAATCCTGGTTTTCGCAAGGGGTCCCATGGCAAAAATTGAAAAAATCACGATCAAAAATTTGTTGCCAGGATTTTGATGCAGATTTAATGGAAATCGAATTACGAATCGTTTATGGTATTCCGCTTAAGAATCAGATGGATATTGGCTAAAATATAGACTTAGGTAGCAGCCATAGGGGAAAATCCTGGTTTTCGCAAGGGGTCCCATGGCAAAAATTGAAAAAATCTCGATCAAAAATTTGTTGCCAGGATTTTGATGCAGATTTAATGGAAATCGAATTACAAATCGTTTAAGGTATTCCGCTTAAAGATCAGATGGATATTGGCTAAGATATAGACTTGGGTAGCAGCCATAGGGGAAAATCCTGGTTTTCGCAAGGGGTCCCATGGCAACAATTGAAAAAATCACGATCAAAAATTTGTTGCCAGGATTTTGATGCAGATTTGATGCGAATCGAAATACGAATCGTTTAAGGTATTCCGCTTAAGGATCAGATGGATATTGGCTAAGATATACACTTGGATAGCAGCCATAGGGGAATATCCTGGTTTTCGCAAGGGGTCCCATGGGAAAAATTGAAAAAATCACGATCAAAAATTTGTTGCCAGGATTTTGATGCAGATTTAATGGAAATCGAATTACGAATCGTTTAAGGTATTCCGCTTAAAGATCAGATGGATATTGGCTAAGATATAGACTTGGGTAGCAGCCATAGGGGAAAATCCTGGTTTTCGCAAGGGGTCCCATGGCAAAAATTGAAAAAATCACGATCAAAAATTTGTTGCCAGGATTTTGATGCAGATTTAATGGAAATCGAAATACGAATCGTTTAAGGTACTCCGCTTAAAGATCAGATGGATATTGGCTAAGATATACACTTGGATAGCAGCCATAGGGGAAAATCCTGGTTTTCGCAAGGGGTCCCATGGCAAAAATTGAAAAAATCTCGATCAAAAATTTGTTGCCAGGATTTTGATGCAGATTTAATGGAAATCGAATTACAAATCGTTTAAGGTATTCCGCTTAAAGATCAGATGGATATTGGCTAAGATATACACTTGGATAGCAGCCATAGGGGAAAATCCTGGTTTTCGCAAGGGCTCCCATGGCAAAAATTGAAAAAAACTCGATCAAAAATTTGTTGCCAGGATTTTGATGCAGATTTGATGGAAATCGAAATACGAATCGTTTGAGGTATTCCGCTTAAGGATCAGATGGATATTGGCTAAGATATAGACTTGGGTAGCAGCCATAGGGGAAAATCCTGGTTTTCGCAAGGGCTCCCATGGCAAAAATTAAAAAAAATCTCGATCAAAAATTTGTTGCCAGGATTTTGATGCAGATGATGGAATTCGAAGTACGAATCGTTTAAGGTATTCCGCTTAAGGATCATATGGATATTGGCTAAGATATAGACTTGGATAGGTGCCATAGAGGAATATCCTGGTTTTCGCAAGGGGTCCCATGGAAAAAATGTCGATCAAAAGTTTATTGCCAGGATTTTGATGCAGATTTGATGGAAATTAAGATTAAGTGGGAATTGAAGAACGAATACAAAATTGAAGGGGAAGCCCTTAAGGATCAGATATTGGTTATAGATATGGATATGTTCCATAGGTGGATAGTCAGTTTCTCGCAACATGGGTATGGAAAATACTCGATGCTACTTTTTAGCTTAGATTATGTATGCATTAAAATGGCTTGCGGTTAATTGCAGAATAGTTTTTGTTTTTCCTAATGGCTGGAATTCCCATTAAAAACTAATATCTGTATGTAACAGAAAAACCACAGCCGGCTGCGGTTAAGTTAATGCGATAATTTCTCATTGGAGCCCCGACAAAAAGACAAACGTTTATGGGTATGTTTTAATATGCTTTGTTTTATTTAAATGCGTTAAATTAGTGTTTTTGTGGTTCAATGTATGTAGTATGTTAGGGCTTATAAAAGTGTTAATGCAGTTTGTGTACTCGTTCCATGCCTCATCGTCTTATAATGCTTTCCATCGTTTATTGATTGATTTATGCTGCTCTAGTCAATATCTTTAGTATGAAATACATAAATGGTTCTTTTTTGTTTGTAAATGTTGTTGCAAGCGACACTCAATATCATTCTTCAGTCGTTATGAAGTACAATTCTTTATAACTACAATGTGAGTTAATTTTCTTTTATCAAAATATATCAAATGCTAACTTATGTTTTAAAGCTTTCTATTTTATTTAGTTATTGTATTACAATTCTGTTAATTTCAGTTGTCCATTCACTTTGTGTAATATTTGTTGTCGTTAACAATCGTTATAGGTTCGAGATGTAAAAAGTTTGGCAGCTGCTCTGGATTAATTTAAATTTTAAAAGATTATTAAATATCTCGTTTAGCTGGATAGGGGAATTAGTTTTTGATTAATTTGAAATTGATCTATTAGTCGGATCTAAGCACTAGCCACAATTAAAATTCCTTTAGTTAGCTCTTTTAGTATTTTTGGTCAGAATACATGCATAAGTGAATAAATTGTTTATATACGGAGTCTGTGTACGCGCTTAGTGAAATAAATAGGCAGTTTCCAAGATTATTTAAGCTTAAATAAAAATTATTAGTTTCTTCGGGTTTATATGTTTACAACCATTGACTAATTCATTCAGCAGATTTCCAGCACTGTTAGCATATATACCATTTATATTTTAAAGGTTAAAAACATAAGTTTGTAGAAGACAGTACTCATAAGCCTAAGCAATAAGCTTTTATCCAAAATTTCTTTCTAGCGAACTGATACCAGTTAGTTTAAAAATGATTCTTCGGGACAACCATTAAGTTTAGTTAGTTGTACTACTTTTTAGATCAAAATATATTTCATCTAGAATACTTAGTTCTCCAGCTAATAATTTGCTTACTTTCTAGCTCATTTTATAAAGCCAGTTATTCAAATTAATAAAATAAATGTATAGTTCCTGGAAATCGAGTTTTCAATTAATAATTCTCACAAGTCACGTACACAGACTTTTCGATTGTACTGTAGATAAATCCCTAGTTTTCTTGAGAGTTTTTCGATTAACATAGTTTTGAAGCAAAGCCGAATACAAATATGTACAAGATCTGGTTGAAGGAAGAGAGACTGGGCTGAATGACAATGCAATTGAGTTTTATTAAGTGTAAAAATAAGTATAAATAATCGTATAATAATTAACTTAGCTCAACTTGCACAGAGTGGTGGCAAATGATTTAATTTGAGTTGCAAAAATATAAACATTCGCGTCCGATACACTCGCGTCACAATTTTGATGATATAAACAAGTAGATAAAAACATTCGAGAAACAAATCACGCGTCAAACAAACCAAAACTGAATCCAATCCTAATGAATTGGATCGATCGATCCTCGTTTTCATTATTCATATATGGTAAACGAATGAAACTTAACAACTACGTAAGAAACGCCTACAATGCCATAACAATTTGCATGGCTTCCGGGTTAGGGGGTCTGGTCTTTCGGGGTGCGATTGGGGATGGTCTTTTTTTTTTAATTTAAACTCTCTTCTCATGCTCTTCAGAAACAAAATTGAATTTTGCATATATGATGGAGGGCGCAAAGCGTCGTCACTATGATTATCATGATCAGTATTCAATGTAAGATGTGTTGCTATATGGGCACGGCATTATAAATCTGAATGTCTTTGGAGCCGCTTCTCTGCCGAATACAGCAAACAGTTTTCGAGAATTTCAATGCGCTTAAAAGAACGTTTAAAAACTAAATAAAATATATACGCCGATATAGCCAAACATGCTCGTATATCTGCATAGACACGTGTATATAGGCGCTGTTGCTCCAGTACTGTGATTATATGTAGGTAGCGGTCTCATTATTTCGATGTAATTAGTTGCTAATGTTGGCCTAGCCTATTGGTTTTGTGAACGAGATTCGAACATCGCTGTCACGTCGCGTATTGAGAATTGTGGTGAGATCTTTTCTCTGTTGCTGCAAAAGAAGACTCCAATTAGTGGACATGATTTCGGGAGGAACAAGGTCTTAACTCACTTGGAGCCCGCATTGCTCTCGGCCAAAGAATTCCGCTGTAATCGCTCTCGGGGCATCGGTTGGCCGCGCTCGAACTTGTTCGTCGGCACCTTGGTGGTGGTGCTTCCGTACTTTTGGGCCGCCGACCGGACGCTGAGCAGCGATGTGGCCGATACCCCGCTGTTGGTATCACAATTTTGATTCTTCTCGTCCGAAATCCGGCGCACGCGCTGCAGACCCAGCTCCTGGGCCATGTGCAGTGTGCTCTCCGACCCTCCGCCAGCCACTCGGGACATTTGCTTCAGATTCATGTCCATGTCCTTTTGCAAGGCGTGCATATCGCCACGGGACTTGGACTTGATGCGCAGAGATTCCGCGGCCTGGAAGTTATTGTCCTCGGCGTTGAGTTCGGTGCGGGAGCGTGACTTCAGGGTGTCGCCGTGATACTTCTGCGTCAGCTGCTGTCGCCGCTCCTCCTTGATCTTGTCGATCCTCTCGCGGTCGAGCACCACACCGGTGAGCACGCTCTTGCGGCCAGCTGGCGGCAGGAACGGTTGCTCCTTGGGCACGTTGTTCTGCTGGATCAGCGAAATGCGATTCTCTGTGGTGGGTGTAATCGGCTCCTTGTGGCAGATCTCCTCGGTAATGCTCATGCCAGGCAAGCGCTTGGGGGGATTCAGGGTCTTCGGTCGTGTGAAGTCGAAGCTCTTGCGGCGACTGTTCACCTCCAACAAGACCTCCGGCAGCTTGGTCGAGGCAGACAGGTCCTGCAACTGCTTGCCACCAAACTCTCGCACGAAGGCGTTCTCGTCCAGCGAACGGGTTATTTTCTGGCCAACGCTGTTCAGTTTCTTGAGCGGCACGGGCGCCGGCATGGTCTTGGGCACACTCAGCTCGTTGGGCTTCTTCATCGAGCCGCCACGCACTGTGAAGTCAAAGCTCGGCAGCTGTTCCACGGGGGAACTCTCAAACTTATTGGCCAGCTCCTTGACGCTGAAGGAGGGCGACTTGCTGGGCGAGTGCTGTTGATCCCGTTCCTGTTCCATATTGTCCGGCAAACTGTCTAGGCTGTCGAGTTCGATTCTGTCACTGCTTGGCTTCTCTTCCGTGTTGAGTTTCATCTCCTCGCCTCGTAGATTTTCGTAAACAGTTTTCGGCTTTCGCAGCTCAATGTTCTCGTAGAGCAGCTGCGATTGCTCGTCATCCTCCGCATCTTCCTCCAACAGCTGCTGCTGTAGGTGCTGGTCCTGCTCCAATTGCAGAAGCTGCTGGGTCATCTCCGCCGCCTTGTAGGCTTCTCCGTCCTGTTGATGTTCCTCCTCGTCGATTTGCTTCAGACTGGACCTCTCGTGAAGCATCTGGTTGACCTCCGTCACCGAATTCCGAAACAGCTTGACCTGCTCATAGACAATGTTCTCATCAAAGTTGGTCTCCAGCAGCGCAGGGGCCTTCTTCTCCTTCTCCGGCGACTTGTATGTGATGCTGATGGTGGACCTAATGGGGCTGGTCGGCACCATTTTAACGGGCGTCTGCTCGAAGTCTTCGTACACCGGAGAACTGTCCTCGGTGGCCAGCAGCGAGTGCATGCTCAGCTGCCGCTGCAAGTGCTGGTAGCCAAACTCACTAGGCGTCACCGACTGACTAGTGTTGTCCGTAAAGTTCGAGTTGTTGGGCGAGGAGCACATGGCCGCCGCTGCCGCTGCCTGCAGTTGCTCCTTCACCGGCAACGTGGCAGCTCTATTCGCCGGCTGTGGTAGTCGTTGCTGCACTGGCTGAAGGTCCAAGGATAGTTCCCGCTTCAAAGCATTCATGTCCCGATGCTCCTGGACATTGTTGAACTGAAATAGAATCAGAATATAACTTTTTTTTCACTAATGTGGGGGAAGTACTATTCTTACGTTTTGTCCGAGGCTCTCGTGGGAGCTGCCCAGGTAACTGCTGGCTGCATCCAGGCCAAGGAGCAGCTGTTGCTGCATGTTGGAGGAAACACCGGAGACTCCAGACATGGCAGAGGCCAGCATTAGGGGCTCCATGTCGTATTGGGGCGTGTTGACAGCCGAGCTGTTCTCGGAGCTCTCGGTATCGCACAGGAGCAGAGAATAGCGTGGACTGCGCGAGGGAGTGGTGGGGGTTCCAGCGGTCAGTTTGCCATGGCCATCCTCGGTCGGATCCACTCTGGGCTTCCTCAAGGGAACAGTGTTGGAGTGGTTGGCTCTAAAAAGCGGGAAAAATGGACAATTAGATTCGTACTGAGGGGAGGTCGTTGTACTTACTGCACAGGGCGGAGGCTGGAAGCTTCCTGCTTCGGAACTGAATGCGTAAATGTACCCTGGTAGCTGAACCGCTCTTTGGCGGCCTGCTGATCTTTGCGCTTGGCGCCCAGCTGCACCGATGGATAGCTGTAGCGGGTAGACGAGGAGGAACCCGAACCCGAGCCCGAACCAGATCCCGAGGCAGCCGTCGAGGGCGAGGCCAGCGGGGACTGGGCAGCCCGTGCCGGTTTGGGTGGTGGATGCACCTCCACGCTGGCGAACTGTTGCTGCGTGGTGGGCACATTCTCGGGTGTTCCACAGTCAATGAACTGGATGTCACACAACTGATCCTCCAGCTTATACCGCTTGCAGCAGTTTTCCGCTCCGGCGGGCTCGTGGCCACAGGATGACTGGGGGACAGTGGCCGGGGGAGGCGGTGGCGGCATCGTCCTGGCCGAGCTGGGGGACAGGAGATTGAGACGCGGCTGCTTCTTCGGACTGGGATTCACGCTGTTCGTCTGGCTGGAGAAGTCCTCCGGCCGGGCACGCATGATGCGGCGAGTGGCGCAGCCAGACGAGGGCGGAACATTCTCCTTGCCAACGCGCGGCGAGCTCACCAACGACTCGCTCTCAGAGAAGATGCGCATTTCCGGCTCCTCGCGGTCAAAGTTGAGACCCAGCTCGGAGAGCTCGCGCGAGGGGCAGGTGGTCATGTGGCCACGCTGTGGCGATTGCAACAGGTCGAAGTACGAGTCGTGCGAGACGCTGCGCGAGTGGCCGACGGTCCGCAGGCTGTCGATCGAGTTGGACCGGATGCACAGGTCCATGGGCTTCGGTTCCCGTTCGTGGCTTGTGGTTTCCAGCAACTCGATGGACTTGGGCTTGTCGTGCTTGGTCAGCTCCTTGCTGGCGTGGGCGTGTGCCGCCTGAACGAAGCTCACCCGCGACGTGACCGAGTCCTTGGCGTCCGTGCTAGCCTTCGGGCCGGTCTCGGGGTTGCCCTGCCGTTGGCTGCGCGTGAAGATCGACTTCCAGGAGGGCGTCTTGTCGGGCTTGTGCTTCTGCCGGCTGCGCGGCGCCGAGAGCACCGTATGGTACTTGTCCGGCAGGCTAGACGGTCCGCCGCCCACCTCTATGTAGGAGCCGATGTTGGAAGCTGCGTTGCTGCTCGCACTGGCCAGCATGCTGATGGGCAAGGATTGCTTCAAGTCGCCACCCTCGATGCGCGAGTGCCGCTCCTGGGCCTCCTCCAAGCTTATCAGCTTGGCCCCGCCCGTGCTCAAGCTCTTGGGTCGCTCAACTAGGCCCAGGGACTGGTCCTGCTCCCTCTGCTCCACCAGCAGGCTCTCGCAGTCGGTCAGCGACTCCAGTCGCAGCTCTCCACCCTGCGCACTGGCCACCATATTCTGGCGCGCCGTCTGATCCTCCAGGGCGTCGAAGATGTTGTGGCAGTTGCGTATCAGGTACTCGGTGACCACGGCCTGCACGCCCACGCCACGCAGCGCAGCCACGCCCCCGGACTCGAGGGCGGGCGAGCGCAGTAGGTTGGGCGCCCACACAATGGCCAGGTTCTTGTCCGTCATGCCGGTGCGTTCGTGGTGCTGCGACACCTTGTACAGGTGTTCCGCCAGATATTTTAGAGTTCTGCGAATGGAAGAGTGTTAGATTCTTGTGGGGATTACAGTTCCCAGTAGGAATAACTGAGTGTTACCTATAGTGGGGCGGCGGCAGCTTCAGCACCGTCTCTTTCATGAGCCGCAGGCGCTCGTCCGCCTCGTCGGCCTTCACCTGGATGGCCTCCACAAAGTTGTCGTACAGCTGGTACGTGCAGAGCGGGTTCGGCAGCTCCCGGAAGTACATCTTGAGTAGCGAGCTGACCGCATGAATATCCTTCTTCATCTCCGGATTTCCCAGGTCCGGAACACGCTCCTCGTCAAAGGAGCGCCGCAGCCGCTGGATGTTCGACGTGATACCGGAGAGCCTGTAGATTCCGTCAATGACCCCGTAGTTCTCGATGAACTCCGCGCAGGACCGCAGCACCATGGGGATGTCCTGTCCGCTGTTCAGCAGGTGCTCGGACAGGTCGCAGTTGAAGACGCGTTCCCGGTAGATTCCGCTCTGCTTGAGCCTGCGGCGGGACGGCCGGGAGAGGATGAACGAACGGAAGAAGGCGATCAGCTTGCCGTGCTTGCGGAGCACGGGCTTCGTGGGCGAGGCATCCAGGTGGCCAACGAGGGGAGCCGGCATGGGGAAGTTGCGCGGCACCTTGTCCCCGATGGTGGCCACACAGGACTGCGGAAAGAAGCCCACCTCGTAGAGGGACTTTTGCAGGTGCGACTTCTTGCCGCGCCACCAAATCGACTCCGCCGGACTGGGCATGTCGATCACGGAGATCATGTCGCCTACTTCGATGTTGATCTCGTCGGGGGCCTGCGCCTGATACCGTCGCACGCCATAGGCGGCTCCCACCGCCGGCGTGTTGATCGTCCGTTGGGTCTCCCCGTCCGCCAGGGGCAGCCGCCGGCCCTTGTTGTCCAGCTGCAGCCAGGTGAGTATGGTGCCGCAGGTCAGCGAGTCGGAGGCGATCATCGAGAAGCGCTCCAGGTACTTGGCCACCGCGTACTCCACGTCCGGTTCACTGGGCAGCTCCGCCGCCAGCTCGGCCATGTTGCGCAGGCCGCTGATCTTGCGGTCATAGACGCAGCGATGGAGCATCTCGTCCAGCAGCTGCATGTTCTCGAAGCTGCGCTTGATTAGGAAGGGCTCGCAGCGCTGCGGGCACACCCGGATGATGAACCAGCAGCTCTCCGGGGAGAAGCTCCGCAGCGAGCTGTGCGGCAGATCGCCGCCGATCGACTGGGAGGCAATACTGCTCCCCAAATGCTCCGACTTGTCGTCCAACAGCTGCACCGACAGCGGTCCCAGCTGGACGCGTTCGTAGTGGAAGTGGGCGCACTCCTCCAGCTTGGGGAAACGGCACGATTTCTACGGATGAGGAAAGGCTAGCTGCGATTAGAGTGCACGGGGTGTGGGATTTCGGGAAACACTTACGCTGTTCAGCGGCTGTACCGCCATGTGGCGACTTGGCTTGGGGGGCGGAACTCCGCCCTGGGTGGGCGGACTGCAGCTTGACTCCGTGGAGGCATTCGATATTTGAGACGAGTTCATGGAGGATAACATGTCCTGGTGGCTCAGCCCCGGTAGACTGTCGGCCGGCACGATCTTGAAGTTCAACTGGGCACTGATCGCCGCCGCCGGCGCATCCATCTCGAACTGGAGCGGAGCCTGCTGGACATGACAGGCGCTGGAAGCACCGCCTGCTGCGGCACCTTCAGCCGATGCCAAAGCATGGGAATGCAACTGGGCCGCCAGGGAGGTGCTCACCTTTTCCGACATGATGGGCACACGAACACTCTACGCCTGTTGTTGCAACATCTGCAAGAGAACGAGACTCCCATTAGTGAGTTTCTGGGCAGAGCTTCTCATCCCTCGAAAGAACCCCTCGCACAACAATGGCGAGGTTGGAATTTTTCCCATAAACTCTGCATTCTAACAATGGGCTGTTGGTTCTCAGGCCTTTCGATTTCTGTTTCCCAGACAATGGGTGGTTTCTAGAAGGGTATGGTATCATGAAGGACACCAGTTGGTTATTCCAGTTGGTGGTACTAGTCAGTCTGTAATCTAAAGAATGCGGATTCAAGTCATCTAGGAAGTACAGCCATCGAGCTTAAGAATTCAGAGCTCGTCTCGCGATTACTTTCTAATGGCACGCACGACCCGGGTTCTGGCCAGGCCAAAACGTTCTACTTTCGGCCGAAAGTAGGGTTCCACTCTCTCTCTCTCCAGGATGTGGCACATGGTACATGGTATATATACCACCATAAGTATATACAATAAATATTTATTAAGTTCAAAACCAGTTGGGGATTGGGACTCTGGATGGGGACTCCAAATGGAGGCACTGAAGGATGACGATGCCTAGCGGTAGTTCTGATTTACAGCGACACGAAATCCAATCGCCGGCAGGCTGCAACATTTAAACTTTCATAAATTAACCAGAGAGTCCACTGTCGGATGGGAGAAGTAAAAAAAAAAACCAAAAAAAACGAGAGACAACTCTGGCCGATGGCCGCAGCGAAATCATAGAGTTGGAAGAAAACTGGTTTTTCCACTTGCCTAGAAGAGCCTGGCTGGGGAAATGCTCTGCTGCCGTTCGTCAACTGAAGTTGGAGCCGCCACATCCAAAGCCAAACTATTAAAAATTGTTAACGCTAACGGTTCCAAAATGCATCCACATCCAGTGAGACATCTCTGCATATCTAATCATTGAAAGAAACGGCAACGACCTGGAATGGAGATTCCATCAATAGCCACTAATCGAGGGTTCTGGTAATCGATGACAATGGCCAACAATGGGGCATGCAACTCTAATGGGTTTACGATCATAATAGGAATATAGTTGCCATTGTGAGGGCTTTTGTTTTGGCTTCAATGGGTTGTTGACAGATTCTCAGAATATAAATATTAGGGTCTAGGGTCTAGGGTCCAGGGTCTAGAGGCCTTCTATAAGAAAACAAAGAGAATGCAGTTAGCTTACAAGGTTTATGGTTATAAACATTATGAGAATATAATACTTTATAGTCTGTTTATATCTTCGGTAACTATAGCTCTTGACTCAAGCTCTTGTATATAGTTTCCAACTCCAGTAGCTGCCATTACTGGCTGTAGGCCTATGAAGAGCATTTTCCCATCGATTCGGCCAAGCTCTCACTTTCTCCAATCAATTAAACACCACATTGTCCATGTCCGGAGTCCAGACCTGGGACTTGGATGGAGCACCAGCAGACGTTTCAATCGACGTTTCAAGTGTAGCTAATTTAGTGGCATGAAATAACTTAATATTGGACAATAGTTAATGGTTTTTTAATGGCCGGTTTCGAGCTCCGTTTTCCCAACATCCACACTTTAGAGTCACCTCGAGTCTGACCCAATTGGCTGAAGCGAGAAACCGAAAGCTAAACATGACAATGATCCACAAAAGACTGGAACAAGTGCGTGAGTCCGAGTCCGAGTCCGAGCCTAACTAGACATCTCTGTCTCCATTCACTTGATACATACTCGTTGCCTGTCTAGTCGGGGAGCTGGTAGCTACTAGGCTGTGCTAATTTATGGCCCAAAGTGGGTCACTCACTCACTCAGGAGCCGTTTCTAGAGCGGACAATTGCAGCGAATGATGTCGGTTGTCGACCATAAAAGACTTGCGAGGCTGGAAATGCATGCATAATGTGCTTAAGCCCAGTTGCCGGAGGCCCACATCCATTCATTCATTCATCCAACCAACCAGTCAGTCACTCAGTCAGTCACTAGCCAAGTGCGATGATGGTGTGCATCTAAATGAGACGGATACCCCGAGGGGGGCAATTAAATAGATACCCAGTATCTTGGAGGATGATGAGAGTAGCTCATTCCAGAGCTAGAATTCATCAAGTTCGAATAGATGACAATTATTCACATGATTCACTTGACCCTTTTTTAGATCAGCCCGTGAATGACTCACTCAGAGAACTGCCCCATAATTGGCCTTGGTGGTAATTCATTATATAATCTAATGCCACATCCCAACCCCTCTTTTTAGTGACTAATGGTCCAACATGAAGTTATTAAACTGGCCGATCTCCGAACCAATTGCAGCCCAAGGCTAATCCGGTAGCTTATCACCCGATACCCACTTGTATATGGAAATCGGATCTGATGGGAGCTCTACCTCTGACTCAGGCATCTCTATAGGTGCCCTTTTTAAGGGGAGTGCTCCCCAAGCTCCACTCTCCACTGACTCATAATGAAAATTGTTACCCAAGCCAGTGCAATTAGTCTAACCGGCATATTAGTCAACTCTTGTGATTCGGGGCCAGGCCAAGTCCACTGGCCACTGGCTACTGGCTACTGGCCAGTGGGCACTCAACTTTACACTCCCATGGCTGGCTTAATTGGAGAGCTTTCAACTTCCGTTCACACACACGCCGAGGTTGCCTCATACCAGGTGCCATAGAAGAGGAAGAGGAGAAAACTAGCCGAGTCTATGCCTAATCTAATCACCTAAACTAGTTAGTATAGATCGAAAGATCATAATCAGTCTGATGGCTGCTGGTTTCTAAAATATAATGCCCATTGTCGAGGGCATTAGTTCATCAGATTAAAAAAAAAAATACAAAAAAAAGGTAATAAAAGTTGGAGAAAGAGAGTTCCAACCGACGACTGACATTTGTGCAGAATTTCGCCTCCACTTTGGCCATAAAACCTATCCTAATGTCATTTAACCCAAAACAGGTACAAATAAACACAAACACACATACACTCGCACTCACGCTTATGTTTTTTTAATGGAAGTGAAAGTTTTGCGAGGAAAAAGATACAAATGTATCTACACATGCGGCTCTGGGGTTGTGTTTAGTGTTAGGCTTGTGGCGCCGGCATGCCAAATTTTTGCTCAAAAAAATAAACAAAATGACTATTTGATATTTTTTTAAATAAAAATCGCATTAAGAAATATGCGAGGCAGCTGCTGGAAGAAAGCCGAGAGCCAACCAGCAATATAATTTAATTATTATTCATTTCTAGACCCAAGACTAGACCGACCGAATGGCCATGCATATGAATTGTCCGATAAAGTGTTGAATTTCAATAAGACAGTGGCAAGGCGGTGGCAACAAATGGGGGCACAACCAATTGGCACAAGCGTTGAAATCCATAAACAAATAGTATTCCCCCCCCCTTCCAGAGCTATTTCGCACTACGATTTGAGGTTGATCCGCGCCGGCTGCTGAATCCTTTGTAGGAATGTGGTCTGGTCTTTAAGAAGCTATCTTTAGAGATCTATTTTGGCCATTTTAGCTTTGGGGGAAAATAAAGCAAGAGGTTCTGATAGCAGAACTATCTAGGCATGGTAGATAGAGTCTTCTAGCATTGGACCTTGCATAATAGCTCTGAGTAGGAGGCCCCTGGGAGAGTCTATATTCCAAATCTGTATATTCCCCTTATGGCCAGCCACCCACATTTCAATTATCTTGAAGATACTCTAGAAAGGTAACCCAGAAGAGTGTGCCAAGCCAACCTTTCGACCTCAATACCCAGTATTCTTTCCAAAAAGGGGGTCTCTTCTGATGGCTTTTGTTTCATTCTACTTGCCACTAGCAGTTGTCAGTTGTCAGTTTTAATTGAAATCAATTGAGCTCAATTATTTGATACGCATATGAAGCACATACCCCAGCAGCCAGCCAGCCAGCCAGCCAACCCAAAAAAATTCCGAGAGCTATGTGTGTGGGTTGGTGGAGGCATGTCATGTCGGTAGCCAAATATGGAGCTTTTTTTTTAAAAGAATTCTTTACAAGAAATGTAAACAAAAACAACAAAATGAGAGTTGAAAACTACGCGGCGTCATGAACAGGTGTAAACAGCAACCAGATCCAAGGCAATGGTGGCAGTTTCTTTGTGCCATTCGAGCTGAAGACACTAGCCAACAAGGTTATGCAACTGAAGAGCTTATATGGAGAGCAGTCTTAAGACTTCTTGTTGGCTAGTGCATCCCCCCCCCACCATATAAGCAGATGTTTCTAGCCGAGTAACCCTAACTTTCTGGTAGGAGAGGGTTGTCACTCGATGCCCAGTAATGGGCCGAAAGGTAAACGCTCGCTGGCTGGCAGTAGGGAGGGTATGGAGTGGTGTGGTGTGGCACGAATACCACTGCCACTGCGCTTGGAGCTCGTTTGAGTTGAGTGAACAGCTACCGAGGCGCAACGAAATTAATCGAACCCGAGACCAGGTTATGGAAGGGTAGGTATGTACACAGATCCCCTGCCAGGGCAGGAGTATATCTGGCCAACTTGACACGTTTTTCTGGCCAACAAGCCGCCGGCGCAGTCGCACCGCGAGACGTGAGCCACATAACAATAAAGAAACAGTAGCCATATATATATCTGACTATATAAAGCAGCTATCTATAGTACTTTACAGATCTGAAGGAACTTTAGAAAGGGTATTATGATGGAAAGTAAGTGTGGTGGTCGGCAGGCGAGAAGAAAAATGAAAGGCCAACTCCTGAAAGGCTTTATTTTTGGAAAGTAACAGAGCCAGTCGGGATCCAGGAGAGAGCCCGAGACGGGAGTTCAATGTCAACCGTGTGGTGGGCACCGCCACGACAAACTTTTACGGCCGCTTCCGCTTCAGAAAGCACACATAACTGGATGACGACCACACCTAAACATTAAAAAACAAGCAACGAGGGAAATGTTGCCTTTTTTTTGCGCGGACCGACACAGCGGTGGCCAAGACAATAGAAGACCCTCCAAAGGGGTTGAAGAACCGAAGACCGGTTGGATGAACTTTGATGAAATTCTTGAATCCGAAAATATGGAATACCTAAACACCCCTAATTTCCAGGACTCCTTCGAAGGAATGTTGGACTACTACTACCATTTTGGCCACAGCTGTACGTAGCGCAGAGATACCCTGCCTGCCTGCCTGCCTGCCAATGGGGTGGAATGTGAAGCAGACAGATAGACAGACAGACCGACGACGGGGCAGGCATATGGTGGAGTCTTCTCAGGTGAGTATGTATGTGTGTGTGTGTACTACAGGGTGACAAAATCTAGTGTGAAAGACAGCACATATTCTTGTCTGTTTCTTACATACCAACTATTCCAATAGCCAGGCATGGTGCGTGGGCCGAGACGAGAGAGAGAGTGAGAGAGAGAGCGATGGATGGCCCAGCTTCCTAGACTCGCCAAAAACAAAAAAGACAGAAAAAAAAAAATAGGCGATAGAAAAACGGGGCGTTGTTGTTGGATGGTTTGCTGTTATTCGGCACTGAACGCGGTGTCGTCTTTAACGTCTTCAGCGATGATGGGAAGAAAATGGTAAAACAATGGCATAATTAAGAGGCCAGAGACGAGCGCGAGCGATAAAGTCGCCAAAACGGTTTTTCAGACACCAACAGCGGGCTATTATTTATTATTTTTTGCTTCTGCTCCGACCGCACAATACACTGACACACATTTTTAAATAGAGAAGAGATACTTTTCCTCATCTGCTGTGCTGCTTCTTCAGCTTTTCAGCATATCTTTTCACTCACACGCACTCACACACACACCCGCACACTCCCCAGACAGAGGGCTATGTTATCCTCGGCAGCCCAGCCAGCTCATGCGAAGCTCTTTACACACCTTATGGAGGATCTGATCACCTGGCCGAGCAGTTGCAGCAGTTTACAAGTTACAACATTTTCCTCAGTTTCCACGGTACAAAATAAACGGGGTGCGCGTCGCTTAGAGGTGGAGGTACATCGATGGAATAAGCGACGTTAGTGATGGTCAACCATCGATGACTGCATCGATGTCATCGGTGTTTTAAACATCGGTGCTTGCCAGGGCGATATCGATATTTTTCAATCTTCAAATTAGGTCCAAGATTTTTAAAATAAAAGTTTAAATAAATAAGAAATGTATTTTAAGTGGACTTTCTTCTATTCTTATGTCTATATTCTTTTATCTTCGGTTAGTTATTAGTAATCGGACACAGTTAAACAAAGCAGTGTTGATCAAGTTCAGTAAACAGTGCTCAAAAGAGAGGAACCCTCAAATAAATAAACGAAAACATAAACAAAACCATGAATCCCTTGACGAACATGAAAAATGTGCTCAAACTGAGCGAACACGAGCTTCAGCATGGAGGAAAAAAGAGCTGGCACGATATGTACCGGGACTCGGCCTGGATCTTCGTTGCAGGATTCCCATACACGCTCACAGAGGGGGATCTGATTTGTGTCTTCTCCCAGTACGGTGAAGTGGTCAACATCAACCTGGTGCGGGATTCCAAGACGGGAAAGTCTAAGGTAAACACTATTATTATACATGTTAATATATATTTACTAATCTATTTCTCATAGGGCTTTTGTTTCCTGTGTTATGAGGACCAGCGCTCCACAGTCCTGGCGGTGGACAACCTGAACGGTATCAAGATCATAGACAGGACTCTTCGAGTGGACCATGTGGCAGACTACAAACCGCCTAAAGAGAATGAGAAGATGGACGAGGAGACACTCCGTCTCTATATGGAAGGATGCGCGCCAAAGCCACAGCTTCAACACATCAAGTCAGAGAAAACAGATTCCAAAAAGAAGAACAGATGATAGCCAATAGTTTTACGTACTATTACCTCCTTTTTTATAGTAGAAAATCTTAAGAATAAATTTAAAAATCAAAACAACAAAAAATGACTGTTTTCATCCTTGATTTTGCATTGAAATTATGAGTTTTTATAAAATTTTCATGTACTATTATGATAAATACTAACATAGTTTAATTCACAGTTTTCTCCAGTATTAATAAGGAAAATATATTTTTATAAAATTTATTCTCCATCTTCGGCGCTCCCAAAAGAATCTTCATCATCATCATCGTCTTCGCGATCCTCCATTTCCTTCAGGATGCGGCGCTTGTACCGCTCATAGGCACTACCACGTTCACGGTCGACATTGTAAAAATCCACATCGTCCACAAAACCACCGGCTTCGGTGTCAATGCTATGGACATAAGGATCGTGATAGGTAACATGGTCTTCATCGTCACTGGAGCTGCCAAACTCATCCTCATCATCATCTTTAAATAAATATTATATAACAAAATAAAGAGCATTTTGAAAATAATTTTAAAAATCTTACCAATCATAAATTTGTTGATTTGCTGACATAACTCATCTTCGGAGCCCATGGCGCCCAAGTCATCATCATCTGGATAATCATTTGTGTAGTAGTTCTCCTGGTTCGAGTCCTCCGAATCGTACTCCTCGTCGTCGTTGTAGCAGTCCTCCAGCACAATCTCACCCACAGGAATTACTCTACGGAATATTCGAAAAGTGTCGGTTAGTTTTTGGGAGGATCGCGCATTCATTTAAAATTGAAACACAGCGGGCTTCTCAATATATTTTAATGGATTTCTTTATTTATTATTCATATACGATTTCGGGCAACGCTAGACCCCAACAAAATGGAAAACTATTCTAAAACTATGCGTGTATATCGACCTTAGCACTATTCATTTGTGTTTTTTTTTTTGGAATGAAAACAATTCAAGACAAGTGGCTATTGAATTGAAAACAACACAAAGGAACAGGTTTATAAAATGTTGGGCTTGAGTGTGCGTGTGATTCCAAAAACATACAAATCTAATAGCTAATTAATCTAGACTTATGATAATGACATTTGCGTGAAATTCTATCGAAAAAGAACGGAATAATTATGCCAGCAAACGTCTGGTTTACAATTAAATGTTTTCAAAATGTTACACAAAACTTTTATTTCAAATGCTTACACTTAGAAAGTTATTTTTGTTCATATTTGGCACATGAAAACATAAGACCTAAGTAAATGTTAAATGTTTCTATACGTAAACATATTAAAAATATTATTTTACATTTTAAGGAATTTACAAAGAATTCTGTTTTTTATATTCTGTGTACATCTAATAGGAAAGTGTTTCGGCACCGTTTCTCTGACATTAATTAATAACAAAGCATACATATTTAACTGAATGGTTTCGCAGAATTTTTAGGCATTTGTCAGATGGAAATATTAGTAAAATAAATTTAATGTGAGTTGCCAGTTGCAGTCCATTTATTATTGTCGGGTTGAGGTGCTGGGCAGCGTCACACATAATTTTCTGACCGGGCTTTGCCTCCCTCTCTCTCTCTGTGTGTCTTTTCGACTATTGTCGCTGTCATTGATTACCAGTAGCAGTTGTTGTAGTAATTAAACGGATAATACAACCTTATGGAGAACGAATCGAATTATTGAGCTATACGTAATTAAGATTAGGTCTATATGTGGTTGAAAAATGAAAGAAATGAAACTTTGCCCGCGGAGTGAAACACAAGCACACGCACTCCCAAAACTACAAAAAACAAATACCAATGCATACCGCAAACACAGATACTCTTACATATAGTAATTGGTAAAACTAAACGTTTGCTGTGGCTCAATGTGTATGACGAACCTTAGATAGTTGTCGTCCATCATGTCCACATAGGCGGCCTGCATCTCATTCTCTGGCACATAAAGATCGTAAACATAGCCCACATCGGAGTCAGCCGGCTGCTGTTGATCAAGGTTAGACTCTGCATCCCTCTGCAGTTCCACAGTGCTTTGATCTCCATTTCCTGTGGACCTCTGTGGTTGCTGCTGCTGTTGGGATTCAATGTCCACAATGGTGATATGACCTTTGTTGGTCTGGGATTCTTGATTCTGGTTTAGAGATGCTCCCTCTTCCGTAGGCTGATCTTCGAGAGTTGTGCGGAGACAGTTAACCACCCGGAAGCGCTGTTCCCGCGCATTTTCCTGCGCCTCCTGGCGCTGACGATCTCGTCGTAGGGCACTGGCAATGGCTGCATCATTGGAGCGCTGCTGTTGGACCAACTCTTTGGCGGTAGCTTTGTTCAGTCTGGCCGCAGCGAATTGCCGAGTAGCGCAGTCGTCCTGAAGGAAAGGATAATATTAGACTTAAAAACTGCAAGCTTGGAAATAATCAATATACTGCACTTTCTTGGGCAAAAAATAGCCAATTCCAAAGAAGAGATGCCTATGTACCACTCCCAGATAGATATATAATATATTTATAGCTCATTTTATTCCTTCTCACCTGTTTTTCTAGCGTGCCGGCAAATTTGAGGACTGTGGTCAGCTCGTCTTTGTCTGAAACTGATGCTGCCGCCCCGGTCGCCTCGCCTAAATCGTCCGGAGCATTTTCGTCGTTTTGAAGGCGTCGCCGCTTTCCATTCAGCACAAAGGCCGTGTGCGGTTCCTCGTCGATGCGCCGCTTAATTCGCACCACCGCAGGCATTTTAGCTTTCTTCGATAAACCCTAAAAACAACTTTAAAACAAATTTGCTCCAAATAAGCGTGCTACTGCGGTTTTAATTCTTGTTTCAGTGCGACCAGTTGGAAACTTGGTCTAAATACATTACAAAAGCCCTCTTATATTTGCACAGCTCAAAAATGGTCACACTAAATTACTTTCTTATACTTAACCGTTTCGCAAAACCGTTTATTTTAAAATTAAACAAGTTCTTTTAAATCGGAGTTGAAATTGGAATTTATTTAAATTTTAGATGACTTTTTTATATTTTATTGTTAAAAAATTAATACGTATATCTCTATTTTAACAGGATAGAAGACCAACAAAACAATTGTGTCGCTTCAAATATTCCTTAAGGAATTAAATCGCAATTCAGGTTTTTCCGATCTGAATCCAATGTCTGTGTATAGAATACATTATCAGTAAATTAAAGATTACCTTATCATGATTGGGTTTTTTTTACATCTGCCTTATTTGTGTGCTGAACCTTAATAAATAATTCTAAAATCAGTCTTGTTTTAAAAATCGTGACGTAAAGATCGCAATATATAAATTAAAACTTTATAATGCTCTTACTTAGTATATTTTTTATTTTTGTATACATCCAAACTTGTCTTTCTTCTTGTGACGTAAGTTCTATGTTTTTTTTAGTGACTTTAAATAGCTATCTTTAATTAATGTTTACCTAGGTGGGTGAATCCCCTCCTGAGTGCGCAGCTTATTGCTTCAGAGTTGTGAAACCATGCTTATCATACTTGGATGTTCTCCAAAACCGGGTAAACGCCTATGAGTCGTCTGTACCGAGTGATATTCTGGCCAGAGTATCTCTCACAGACACCAAAATGGACATTCTGGGAAGGCAAATGGCGATTCTGCAGGAGAAGGAGGAGGACTATCAAAAAAAGATTTTTAAATTGGAAGACAGATTGACAAAGGGTGTGCCGAGTCACTTTGGCGAGTTTCAGAAGGTCGGTCAAAAGTATTATTATGTTGAAAAGGAATTACGAGAAACCTGGCATGGAGCTGTAAAAAAATGTCATGAGATGGGTGGATTCCTGGCCAGCCTGCAAAGCCAGCATGAGATCGACGCAATTAGTGGAAAGCTGAAGGAGTACTCAGGATACTGGATAGATGTCACCGATCAGTTCAAGGAGGGATTGTACGTGTCCATTAGTACTGGACTAAGGGCCACTTTTCTAAACTGGGATGGGAACGAGCCATCCCAAAAGGGAGAACAGTGCGTCGAACTACATACCTACAAGGAACCCCCCCGAATGAATGATAATTCTTGCTCCAATAAAAAGTATTTCATTTGCGAATCATCCGCCGATGTTAACGATACTAAATAATTTATTGGGTATTAATCACAATAAACTCTTGTAATAAACAATTTTAAATGCTCGGAGAAATGTTATTTAGGAAAATAGATCAAGATCATACATATAAACCTCTTGGGTAAGAGGGTGTCTGGGTCGTTAAATAATACAATAAATAGTATATATTCTTATCAGCAAATCATATTCTTATCAATCATGAACAACCTATAAACTCATTTTTCACAAATAGCTTCAGTCCAATTTTGTAAATCGATTTAAAAAGATCGCTATTTTAAAAATGCGCTTTAAACAAGTATTTATATGTGTAATCTTGATGTACGTGAAGGGTACTCTCTCAGTTTGTGAAGTAAGTTTCAAAAGCTATATTTACATACCTGCTGCTATAATATAGCTTTTAATTCTCTCAGGAAGATGACACCCCGCCAGGCTGCTCTGGATTTTGTTTCAGAGCCGTCAAGCCATGCCTATCATACCTGGATGCTCTTCAGAATCGGGTGAATGCCTATGAGGCATCTGTACCAAGTGACATTCTGACAAGAGAATCCCTCATAGATTCAAGGCTGGAGGTTCTGGGAAGGCAGGTGGCTATTCTGCAGGAGAAGGAGGAGGACTCCCAGAAGAAGATCACTCAACTGGAGGATAAGTTGTCAAAGGTCGGGTCCAGTAGCTTGGGCGACGCTAACAAATTCCAAAAACTAGGCCAAAAATATTATCATATCGAAACAGAATCAAGGGAAAACTGGCATGGAGCTTTAAAAAAGTGCCATCAGATGGGTGGATACTTGGCCAGTCCGCAAGGTCCGCACGAGCTGGACGCTATTCAAGGAAAACTAGCAAAGTACACAGGATACTGGATAGATATCACGGATCAGTTTAGTGAGAGGGTCTACTGGTCTATGAGTACTGGAATGAGGGCCAACTTCCTCAAGTGGGAGGAGAACGAGCCAACCCAAAACGGAGAAAAATGTGTGGAGCTGCATACCTTTAAAGAAACTCCTTCCATGAATGATAACTTGTGCTCAAGAAAAAAGTTATTCATTTGTGAATCGTCTGGGAAATGAATCATACACATAGATATAAGAAATAAATGTGGATCCCCTCTGGCAACAAACACTTTATATTAGACAACACGCCTTGACTATTATTTAATTGTTTTTACAACTTTTGGTGCATAGTTTATTGCCTAATAAATTTATCTGCCTTTTGTATGAGTGTTCTTTGATAAGAAGTTGCAGAAAGTCATCTGATATTCTTGGATTCTTGGGAAATCATTAACTATCTGTTTTTTCAGTGAAGAGGCATCAACTTTTTTCAAAAGTTAAGGTGGATTCAGATATTCTTCGCTTGGATGGCCGGCAAGTTCGTTTAAGCGCAATAATGAATTCTTACATTATTTTTTCGATTTTATTTTTGTTACTTCAAACCTCATTCGCTGCGCCGCCAAAGGTAAGTGGAAATTAATACTAAAAATTAAGTTACATAAACTTTCCATATTATTTAGAGAAGAAGATTTTCCCACTCAGTGTAAAGCTGTTTGCTTCAATGCCGTACAACCCTTCTTGTCTTACCTGGAGATCCTTCAAAAGAGGGTCGAGGTCTGTGAGGTGACAGTTGCTGGTGATACACTGACACAAATAGCGATATTAAATGGAACTCTGGAAGTCCTTGGCAAAAAACTGGCGACTCAGGAAGAACGGGAGAAGGAGTCAGCTGCTAAAATAACAAATTTGGAACAGGCCTTGGCTGCGGGTGCCCAAAATCTTCGTTATACTAAGAGTGAACCATTTGAAAAACTTGGTTCCAAGTATTATTATATCGAAGAGAAGCTAAGACAAAGCTGGCACGGTTCTTTAAAAATGTGCCATAAGCTAGGTGGTCATTTGGTTAGTCTACAAAATCAGGAGGAGATCGAAGCTATTAACGGAAGGTTGAAGGAATATACGTCATACTGGATCGACGTGACTGATCAGTTCAAGGATGGAGATTATATTTCTATATCCACAGGTTGGAATGCAAGTTTCCTAAACTGGGCTAAGAATGAGCCCTCTCATGGCGAAGAGCTCTGTGTCGAGTTGCATACTCATTTTGGACCTGCTGTGATGAATGATAGTCGCTGTTCCAATAAAAAGTTTTTCATTTGCGAATCAAATGCTTTAGAATTATGAAATTTTTGAAATATGTTACTCAAATGATAAACCTTTTAAAATATTACAAATAAAAATATAAGCTTAGACGTTCTCTTGTAGATAACAGCGCGCCAAATTCAAAAACTTTCCACCCTCATATCCGATAGATGTCAGCTCTCCCCCAAAAACAGCTGAGTGGTGCTCACAACCCCCAGCAGCAGAGTAACTCCCCAAACAGGACAGCAGTATTTGCTCTTAGCCGGCGGTGTGCGGTCGTTGAAGCGGGTGGTTCCTGTGCCCGAGGTCCTGATACAAAGTTACCGCTAGCTCCGGTCGAAATTACGTACTCGGATACACGTCTGTGGCTCTGTGCCTGTGCCTGTGTGGGTGTCGGAGTTTTGTGTTTTTAATCAACGCTCAAGTGCAATAATATTAAAGTGCGCCTCAGATTGAATTGAAGCCGTTAAACGACGGTAAATGTCGCCGCAGCATCACAAAATTGCTCATATCTGTGTATTTGTGCGACGTATAAGTGCTGATATCCTTTCGTCCTGTATTTGCCCGCGCTTTTTGCAATTTGCTTTCGCTATTTGTCAGCATTTATGTGCCGCAATTTTGTCCTGCCACCGGAAACAGAAGCGGCTCGAGAATTATTTAATGCTCGATTGCTATCAGCGAATGCCGCAATTATGTTTTAATTGGCGCTAAATGGTTTATTCACACACGCGCACGGGCACTCGAAAGGATTAGCAGCAGGATTCCAAAAATTGGGCAAAAGGTTGGTGTTTCGCTGTTCCTGTTGGCCATAATCCTGGTGTCGAAATATGAGTCTTTTTGTTGATATTCGTTAATTGGAATTTTATTGGAAAAGCCTACAAAAAGAATATGAAATTTCGGGTTTTGTTTTATTGAATTTATTACTAAATAAGTATTTTATATTAAAGTCCTTTTGCTTCCTTCTTTTATGATTTTTTGTTGTATTCAAAATTAGTTTTTTAACGGGAAAAGTAGACTTCAAAGTAAGATATAACTATTTTTAATAAGATAATTAAAACTTTCTATTCTTCCATTCTATTTTTTAATATTTTGCTTTAGTAAAGCTATTACGTTTATAAAAGGTAGTATATTCTAACAAATTTACAATTTCTTGAAGGTAAAAAAAACTTTAAAAATCTTCTTTTGTTACAACGATTTTATCAAATTAAATTACCAAAAAATTTTCAACTAAAATTTAAACAAAAAAAAACCAGAATTGTGGGAAATATTTGATTTCACAGAGCACCTGTCTCTATGAACTCTTGGCACTTTGTTCGTTTGCAGCGGAAACCGTAGTGCCTATAAAAATATTTACGAGTAAATATTACAGCCTCTGACCCAGGCCCTTTGACCCGGGGACTATCCAAACATATGTCTGAGCTCCCCGGGCCGCCTGTTTTATTTATGTGGCGGGCGTCAAAAAATTTGCCAGCGCATGAATCATCCTCCAACCTGCCACCTCGAAAAGCCCCCGTGCCACACAGCGCATGTAATATGAGCCAGCCCACGTGCATTGGGGCTGAAGGGAGAGATCCTGATGCGTTTGGCATAATAATGAAATAATAATGTCGCCTTTTGTTCGGCTAGAGGTGTCTCAATGTCTCTGGCAATAAATTAATGGGATCCGCACATAAAAACATAAAAAGCACCCTGCAGGTTGTATTTTCCTCAATTTTGATTATGTGACACGCAGCTTCCTCATGTGGCAGGCAGTACTTGCCAACCAGTCGGCTTAAAGGGAGTGAGCTGGCCTAGAAGGGGATGGGCGGATCTTTGGCTCAGGGGGAGGAATTCCGGCAACATTGTCAGCTGTTGCCGCATCTTGGCAAAAACTAAATTACCATAAAGATGCTCAAATGCTTGTCCTAAGACACGCCATGATGATGCAAAGGAGCCCCTGATAAAATTCTAATCATGGCAACAATGTTGGCTTCCACTTGCCACTTACAACCAGAAAAAAAAATGTAACCATCCAAGTGTGTTACTTTTTTCTTGCTGATTTTCGGTGGTTGTTGTTTGTTCACAAAAAAAAACTTTCAAAGAACTTTTGCACTTTCGCTTTAGTTCTCTATTTTTTCCTTGATCGGGTAAAATAACTTTATTGGCAGTTTTAAAAGTATCTGCTCTTTGGAGAACTAAACTTTCTTTGACTCGACAGCCATAACAAACATTCAACAACTTTTCGTCATTTGTAGATGTAAATAAATAAATATACAATACCAATAATGTCATTTTTACAAACCATTATATTTAAAAAGACATTTGTTACCCTTTCGAAGGTTATTTTAAAATGGTTCTTATGTTTGAAAATTAAACTAGCTATTTCTTATAAAATAATTGGTATATTTAATCTCTAAAAATTTTATAGTATATCTAAATGTACAGATATTAATAATATTAAATACCTTGTCCAAGATTTGAACGATATAAGAATTATCTGGAAGTGACAATTGTTTCAAAAATTGCACTCTTTCCACATCTATGTACATATATTGGCAATTATTTTAATATTCCGACATTCTATGTACCTTAATATAATTAAAGCATTAATATAAGTATCTTCAAGATAGTGTAGAACAAGTTCGTGGTAAACCCACCTCGAAATTCCCCCAGATTTTCCTTTCTTCCGCTCTTTTGTAAAACATTTTTGATTAGCTTCAAGTTCAGACAAGGCCGGGCCGGATGGGATGGGTGGTCTTGGACCTTGAGTGGGGGAGGGTAGGTGTTTTAATTTTTGTTTAAACTTGGGGAAAAACACCTTCGGGCATCTGCTCGGGTCGAGTGTCTCTTTGTGGCTTTGACAGCCTTTGTTTCTGGGTGGGTTTGTCTGTTCGAAGCAACATCACCATCATCATCATCATATATCCTTGTTAATTTGACTAGGGGGTTGTTTTTTTGGCCTGGGTTTCAGGCCCATAAATCATTATAATGCATTTTGTTTGGGACAAGTTGTAACGGTCAAGTGCTGTGGTCATTTCAATAACATATTCATCATCTTCATTAGGGGATTTAAATGGAAAGTGACTAATGGAGGAGTGATAGCTGAAAGGTTGAGTATTAAATGGAAAATGCAATGTGTTATTTAACATTGAGATTAAATAATTCACGAAAATCAATAAAATCTCCTTCTTTTTTATATAAGTGATGTTATTAAATATTTATTCACTTGGGAAATGGATTAAATTTGATAAAATGTTTCCCCCATGTTGCCCGCAGCCAAATATAGAAATAAAATTGTGAAAATTTCACGTATGAAACATTTTTCATTTTTATTTGTTGGGAGTTGTGTGCTCAATTATTCATTAAAGTCGATGACTGTGCGCTGCCCTCGAAGGGGAGTGCTATACGGCTCACAGATTGGGATCGCTCCCTGGCCCAGCGCGCCAATTACAAGAGTAAATAGAAATCTGCTCCCACCCAAACACCCAAAAAAACCCACCGAACACCAGTCCCTGGCCATGGCTTTATGCCTTTGCTCCTGCCCGATAATACAGTCGTTGCACCCTTCGACACAAATCACATTAAATTTGCTCGTGCTCATTACGGACGAGCAGCTCGGCTTGACTGGTGCCGGACGCACTTTCTACTTGCCACATGCCACATACCACTTGCCACTTTCACTCTGCCGCCCAGCCGGGGGCCAACCCCCCTGGTGCAGCGTAGAATCCACCCCCGTCTAATATCATTTTGCAATTTGCACTTGGCAAATAAAGGAGTGAATGCTGTGGCAGATAAAAACGATTCTCTTCTTTGTTCTAGCCCCGGGCCGCAAATGTTTCCCAGCCATTGGAAAAGTTCGCAAACCCAAACGCAGTTTGTAGCCGTTTACATTTCAATGGACAAAAGATCCGGCTCCGGCCAGGGCTTCGGCTAGGGCTGCCCCATTCCCCCAAAACACGCATGCCACACATTGTTAAATAAATTATCGCCTACGTTATGGAAAGGCATTGATGAAATCGCATCCATTGAGACTTATTCTTTGAATACCTCTTAAGAAGTTGGTTACTTAGACGAAGCTGATAGGAAGAGTTTTTAGAATGCTTATTTAGAAAAGTAGAACTACTTTCCTGTACATAACTAAATGGGTTTTCCATATAATATTTTTAACTTTAAAACTACAGAGTTTAATAAAGTAAGATTTATTTATACAAAATATCCTTTTAAATAGAACATTTTCATCTCTAATGGGTACTCTTGTAGTCGCTATAATTCCATCCCAATATGATGGTGAAGCTGGTCTGATTGGGGTCTTTTCTGTTCCTCGATAGAATCCCCTTTTGGTTGGACGAGTGGCCAAGAAGGGTGGTGCAACCGAACCTGTGGCTGCCCCTGGTTGCTTGTGGCCTGATTGACATGCCCCTCACACACAAGTGGATCCCGAAACCCAGCCACACACCCCCAGACACATCGCCAGTCACCCGATCCGCTTTGTGACAAACAGCTGATTGCGTGCTCATCCTGTCTGATGTCCTGCATGTTCGTCTCGGGCATGATTTATGTTTGCAATTGAATTTCTTGACTTTTTCTTTGGCAAAGCCAAGGGATCTGGATTCACACGTGGCCAGGGGAGTTGGCCAAAAGGAACGCAGTACAAATTAGCTCATTTTCCGCTACGCTTGGCTCACGTGCTCGTTAGCATCCTGCCAAAGGAGCTCAAGTTCATTGACCTTTGCCCAGCTTCCTTGGGCTCCTTTGATTTGCTCCTGGGTGGGGCTATTGGGCAGCAGATGTTTGCATTTTGTACTCCTTAACTTAGAAGTTCTTTTATCAATACACTGAAAGAATAGAATCCAGTAGAAGGTGGCTTTCTATTTCAAAACTAGGAACTAGGAAGAAGTTTGTATTTCTAAAATCTTCTGAACTATAAAGTCTCTTAATGTGATAGACTGTAGATTCCGAAAAGGAATAGTTTACTTTGTGAATAGAAAGGATACTTGTGAAAGAAAGTGTACAACTTTTGCCTTATTAAATTCCTAAAGTGTAGGTGTTCTAGCCGTAGTCATTGTGGCTAAAA